CACAATTTTGTTCCCACGTGCAATATTATAACCAACAGTGTCACGCTTTTTACACCACAATCAAATTTGCCAATCACTCGACAATATTTGTTATTCTTTTCACTGAAAAGTGTTTCACTTGCAGAGCACAAAGAATCGCTGATCATCTTTCGTTTTTCTCTGCTCCTTTGTGAGATGCGCTAACATGTTTCTCTGCTCTCCAGCAGCCATAAAACTAACAATGAAGCAATAAGGCAGCGAAGAACACACACGCTCACTTTCACACTTTTCAGTCTGCGTCGATCTTTTAAAGGAAAATAAACAGCGCCGGCGGTTCAGTGGCCAAAGAAAAATAATTACTTCATCTCATCGGAAGCAACTTTACGATTCTTTGTAGCTGCACACAAACTTGACAATTTAATTATTTGCTCTCAAAAAACTGGAGAAACAAGCAACTAAGTTTCTTTTATTTTTAGTAAAAAGTGGGCAATTTTAAGAAACGCAAGCAAAAAGTAGCCTGAAAAAAAGATAATTTAGAATAGTGATTTTTGTGTAGAATAATTTGAATTTGAGGTAATAAGCAAAAAGATATTTTAAGTGGTATCATGGTATGCATTTATTATCGTTAAAAAAATGATAGCATATACTTGCAAAACATGACAACACTTCTTATTAAATAAATATTTTACTGTTGTTCAAACCGCATTAAAAATTAATATATATTTTTTATGTATAAAAATAATGTTAATACATTTATTTCATTCGATTTAATTTGAAATAAAAATTCAGCGATAGAATACTAATAATTGCACGCAGTTGTAGTTGAGTATTGCACAAGGCACAATAATGGCAGTAGATTTGATTGCGTGTAAGTATACACATTCGAGAGACAGTGTGTATAAATCTGTATAAATCTCGCCCGAAGCAGAGAGTTGCTCTGTGTGAGGTGAGGGCTAATTGCTTCCGAGAGAGGCGTGCGCAGCTACATTTCACGTCGGGTCTCCGGGGCACTCTATCAAATTGGCCCATTAAGTGTTGCCCTTTATTGGCTTGCTATTATATAATTCGCAAAGTTACGTGAACTTGTGTGCCCTCATTATGTTGGAATCAAAAGTTTCATAATTGGCGAAAAGGCTATCAATTTATTGGTAGGTACCAACAATTATTTTTATTACTAAAATTTATCAAATTATGTGAAAATTCAAAAAGATGTACAGCAGGTTTAAGTAAAATAAATTTCATATGAGAATATAATTTCAATTAAATTTATTTTAAAATAGTATAAAGCATTTCACCAGAAGTATTTCCCATTTCACAGTATTTTGGTGTTTGAGAAATATTTTATCCGCGCGATCTAGACGTTTTCTTAGTTATTAATATGAAGATGTGGTAAAATTTAAATTTGATAGATTCAACTAATTTGTAAAAACCAAAACTGAAAATTTTGTTTTATTTCTTTATCACAATGGTTCATTGATAAAACAATGGAACAAAATGCGCAAAAAAAAATTAAATTTTTCTTCTCGACTTCACGGGTTCTCGCACATATCACATCATTTGACTCGCTTAGCCACACCAAAATTACTGTTTGGCACAGTCAGAGCGCAGCAGCACGCGCAATTTTTCTCTGCAGAATAGCAGCAGAATCGTAAAAAAGCGAGGCCCAGCAGGGCGTTGCTGGATATTTCTCATCGTCATGCATCCTCTCCACACGCACGTGGCGGATGGATAAAGTGCAGAGAATGAAAATCTGCTTCCACAACAATACAACAACACAGTCGAGATCGGCACGCACACAGCAGAAAAACGAGAAAAAAGAATAAAATGCGCATAAAAAGTAACATTTTAGAAAGCAGCGTCTCGCGGATTGTTACAAGCGCTGCAAGTATATGCGAGAAAAAGGTTATTATATATTGAATCAAAACAAGTACGTTCACCGCGCTTGAGTCTGGAACAATATGCAAATTTCAATATTTGTAGTTGTCAAGAAGCAACTTGGGTTAAAACGCCACTTCATAATAAATATTTTTTCTTTTAACATAATTTGTTTTTCATTTTCCTACAAAGTATATATCTATTTGCATAAATTAAAATTTAACTTTATTTTTTAATTAGATACATTGATTGATTGCAAAATTATTGTATTAAATTACATTTGAGAGCACTAAGCACTACTTACCATACTATTTTTATTTAAATAATATTATTTGCATATTTCTCCCTTTGTTCAGTTTGGTCAAAAGAAGCGAATGAAAAGATATCTTTTTTTATGTGGTTTCGGTCAGGTTTCAGTCAATGTGTGATTGCCTAAATGTTATCAAGTTGCTTTTTGTCCACAACTTATTATACTTGTATGTTGGACAGGTGACGGGAGAAAAAGCAGCTCAGTGGCCAATTCCTTGCATTCCAGAACGAATTACGGCACAGCTAGTTCTCTGCACTTAATTTAAACGTGCTGCCTTTATTTAGTGAAAGTATGTGCGCGGAAAAACTGTGTGTCGGTGCGACTCTAGTAATGAGCTGAGTGTGCCGTACTCACCGTAATTAATTCAAGGCTCATTGTTTGCGCGATTAATTCTGCTGAATTGGATTTAATTAAACATATGCGCGCGAGAGCAGTTAGTGGAGCCATTATTTATTTAATGGTGTTCACGGCTGTGGGCGCTGGAGTAGAGAGGTGCTCGAACTTTTGTATTCAAATTGGAAGCTTCCTCCGCACACAGATATTAATTATGCATCAAAAGAAGAAAAGAGAAACATGTTTACTTTAAAATTTTCATTCTTGGTGTATAATAACGAGAATTTAATTTTTTAAATCGATATAATAGAACATGAATTTTACAAATTGTAATATAGTTCTAAAAATTAGTGACGCGTTCTAGCTTATCATAATTTTTATTATTATTATTTATTCTTCTCGGTCAATACAAAAATTTTAAATTGGAAAAAAGAGAAGAAAGGGTTTACAACTATGGTACTTGCACCAGTGGTCGCACTGTTTGCTTTGTCGCACACGCGGCTGCGCAGCCCATTTACCAAAATGGCTTATGGGCCGCGCAGCCGTGTGTGCGACAAAGCAAACAGTGCGACCACTGGTGCAAGTACCATAGCAGATGTCTGCTAAAACGCCCGACATCAAAAGATAATGGACCGTTCTGGCTTTTTTTTGAGAAAATTAAAATGAATTCAAAATTCACCAAACCTAATTATAAAAAAATTAACATTGCAATGGAAGATTTTACCCTTAACTTCACTTCAAAGTACACAATGATTGTGGATTTTATTGTCTTCAAATTTTCTTTGATAACATTTATTTTCCATCGATTTTTCTTTTTTAATTAAACCCTTTTATATAAATAGAGCTATTTTTCCTTCACTTACCACTATAAATATTTACAAAGTCAATCAAGGGTGAAGTATTGCGGATTAATATTCATTTCATAAAAACATAATTCTCATGAGAAGGGAATTTCAATTCTAAATCATTATTGAGAAATTGCATGCATTCCAAGTCAGTTGATAGCTATAAATTCAAACGGAGAACGTGAGACGTGCGTTTCCCTTATAAATAAATGTGACAACCGTAATTACAATTGCATTGTATCAGGCGCGCGACCCGGTCATCGCGATTTCTCTTCCAAAACGAATATAACATGGCGGCGCGCGTTTCCTTTTCTATTATCTAAGCATCGAAAAATTACCGCCAAGGTATGCCGATAGCGGATTTCGAAATTTTTGTTTGGCCAAACCTTATGCACGGCGGGTCGTCGGTTGAATTAAAAATTAATCAAGCAGCAGAAAGAAATCTTCATTTGTATCGCAGGCAGGTTCAGGTGTGACGCGCGTTGCCGCCGCTTTCGTATTCACAAATAAAACTTATTGTTAATTATAGTATGGCTCGTGGCAGTATTATTTTCGAATGCGCGTCCACACTCTGGCAGGTGATCATTAAAGTCGTCGTTTCGTAATATTTGCCAGAGGAATTTTGTTCGCGGTTTCGGCAAACGAACAAAAGAAATTATGATCACATGATGAATTCCACACACGTTTCGCAAACACAAAAATTTTTTAATGGACCGGGTGTCCCATTGAAACTATTTTCTGTTTGTTTTTGAAAATTTTTGCAGCTCTTTTAATGAAAAAGTTTTGAAGCAAAAGCAAACTTTTGCACAAGCTAAAAAAATTGCACATTTTTGGCCAATGTAAAAGCCTTTCAATAAAAAACCAAAAAATATCACGTTGCAAAAAACACAGCATGCAATATTTTCGTGGAAATTCAAAATATAAAAATGTCTCGTTTCTCGGGGGAAATTATTCTAGCAGTAATAATTAGTAAGTATCAGCAATCCGGAATTGTGGGGCTTAAAACTATTTCATTTTGTAAGAAGGAATCCATCAATTTCTTCATATTAACTTTTTTGCCATCATAAACTCAGATTTCTTTATAAACTCGATTTAGGCCGACTTAAAAAAGCATGAAGCTAAAAATAAAAAGTAAAGCTTATAATCTGCTTATAATTATGGATTGCTGATACTTAATACCGCGGACACTTACTACCCGGTATTTTACTATCCGTTGTGGGGTGAGGCGCTGACGGTATGGGTGATATATCGTTCAAATGTCGAATCGTTTGCAACGGTTTTTATTTGATTGAAGGAATTATTAAAAAAAATCGCTTTCAAAATGAACTGAAATGAAAAAATTTGAAAATTTATTTATAATTTTGTATGTGATCTACTTGAGAATATAATATTATTTTTAACTCTTCTCTATGGCAATAAAATAATAATAATTTAAATAAAAAAAAAATGAAAAAAAGAAGAAAAGGTTTACAACTGGCAGGTTTTAAAAAATATTTGAAATCTAATGGCAATGATTAAAAGATAATAATAAAAAATTCTATTTCTTCAAATTTTAATTTACTATAATTTGAAGAAATAGAATACAAAATATTTTATATTATTATCTTTTAATCATTAAATTTTTAAGGTTTTAAAAAAAAAATGAATACTTTGTTTGATCATAATTTATATTTTATCATAATTTATATTGCCACTGCATAATAAATTAAAAATAACACCAGGGAACACATTCGTAGTTTTAATATAATACAAAAATTTGATCATCATTTCCAACCTGCATTGATTTTACAATTAAAGGTAATCATTTTTCCCTTCCAAAAGCTACGCGTTCACGTCTAATTGACTCGGCAGATGTGCCAAAAAAGCAGGCGTAAGCGGTAGCACATACAAGAAGTTTTGAATCAATTTTATTAATGCTCATTGGAAGAAAAAAGTGACTCACATTTGGTTTTTTGGGGCGAACCTCAACCTCGATGTACTTAAGATGGATGCGTTGGCGAATTTTATGTATGTCCGTTTCTGCATTGATTTCTTGAGCTGTTTTTGCTATAAGAAATTCCTGCAAGTTTTGGACTTGGACGAATTGCATCTCCTTGTATTTGTTGCAGTTAAATTTATTATTAGTTTTTCTATGCTGACATGTGATGGCAATGGGCAAACAATTTCTTATCAGATTGACAACAGCGCCAGGACCTGAAAGAACGGTTGAAACATGAGCATGTACCCCTGAAAATCTGATATATTTTTTCCAATTTAAAATTTGATGATTTTTCCCTTAAAACACAACCAAGTTCACTTTGAGCTTACAGACCTTGACCTCCATAGCCTCGAGGTGAGGTTACTTAATTTTATGATTCGTCTCCATAGTCTCTGTGGACTTCTAGTGACCTCAATAGTCTGGAGTTGTTGTGATTTATCACATTATTGGTTTTTCATCATCGTAAGTGACCTTGCTTTAAGGAAGGTCATTGAGGTCAAGCTTGAAGCCATATAGTCTCAAAGTGAACTCGGTCGTAGCCTATGGCTTCAGGATGGTTAAGATACTTGAGTCACCTTGAGAATAAATGATGGAAGTGCATGGAAGTGCATATTTTAAATAAATAATTTAATTTGGGTTCAAGTTAAAAGTAATGAATTCAACGAAGGGATTTAAAATTAAAAATAGTTCCAGGGATGCACCACTCAGGGAAATGGAGGCTATAAATTGAGCTTCTTTCTCAGCAACGAGAAAATGAGCGCCGTCCCCATGGGGCCCTATCATGAGGGTGGTTGACTTCCAATTATGCAAAACAGTACTTCAGATCAGTCTTACAAAAATAAAACTGCACCTCCTGCAATGGGCGATACCGGTTTCGGAGAACACCACCCCTTGCCAGAGCCGCAAGTGCAAAGTGCAATGCGTTTGGAGGGAACGACATACATCTTGCAATTTTTAAAACAAAATTTGACAATTGAATTAAAAAAAAATATTTTAAATTTATTTTGGTCAGAATATTGAAATGTGTGTTTAGAGCGTACTTTTCTCGGTGGTGGTCGAGAGGCGCCGAAAAAGAAGCTTATTCGAAGCCTCTGTTTCCAAGAGTGTTGCATCCCAGGAACTATTCTTTACTTTTAACTTCCTTTTTACTTTATTCATTACTTTTAACTCATTTTAACTTGAACTCAAAAAAAATGAAAGCTCCTCAATGGATCACAAATTTGAAAAAAAAATTGATAATAATTTTTTTAAGTAATAAATATGAAATTTCAAACAGTAAAAAAGACTTTACCAATGAAAATGTTTGTGGCCTCTGGAGTTGGATCACTTTGCTCCTGCATCTGTACATTCTTGATGTCCTTCTTTGAATTTGTTAAGATGGTTGCTGGACCAGTCTAAAAATTTGTAATAAAAAGTTGAAAATAAAAATATAATTATTGTTTAAATTATAGTAAATTATAGACCTCATTCACCACAACCGTATCTCCAACAAAAATGGCATAGGTTTTGTCAGAACCCTTGGGATTTTTTATGTTGTGTATCCCCATGTTGATGTTGAATACCATTCTCTCCTTTGCGTAGCCTGTTGACTTGGGCCCAATAACCAATGAAGAGTCTCGGAACTCTAAACCCATGGAAAATCTGTAATTATTAAGGTTAAATAAAATCTTTTTAAATAACTTTTTCAATAACGTTACCCCCAATTTGTGGTGAATCTGTCCACCATGTCCGGTTTCCTCTGCTTGATGAACTTTACTCCAGCTGTGTAAACATCACTCAGCTTAGCTCCAGGAACAAGGTGTTTTAGTACTATCTCTTGTAGATCCAAAACAATTTCATACAACTCCTAGAAATATAATTTTATATGAGCTTATAATATATATATAAATTTACTTTGATTTCATCCGATGGGTTGACAAGAAGTGTTCGGGTGATGTTAGAGCAATAGTTCATGTAAATGGCTCCCAAAGAGCACACAATAGCTCCAAAATGCAAGCAGTTTTTATCACTGTTAACACAACAATTTTTAGTAAGGAAAAAGCATGAAATAAATTATGAGTAAAAAAATTATATATAACACAATCGGTTACCATTTGGCACTGAATTTCAAAGCATAGCTTCCGCCAGATTGAATGATAGGAGGGTAGCACATTTCTAGATAATTGGAGTCACAGCCAGAAAAATAATTCTCATCACTCGTCATGGCCTCCTCAATGCTCTCCGACAACTCCGAATGCCGCACTTTCTAAGCGACCAAAGACAGTAATGAATAAAAATTGGTTTTTAAACTAATCATTGGCTTTCCATACTTTCTTAGAGTCAATTATGTTGATAATTTGTTCTTTCAAGTACTTGTCAAAGAGGTTACAAGATACTTTGCAGGCTTTTCTTGTCTTACTCAACTCCTGGTCATCTTTACTTCCAAACGCATAGGCGATTGCTGTTGATGCATCAAACTATAATTTTAAAAAGGATAATTACAGATAAAAAAAAAAATATTTTTACTAACGATATCAAAGTTTTGTCCCTTCATAGCATTTTTGAAGGATTTGACGAAGCTGTTGCTAAAACCATCCTTGTCTTTCACGAACATCCCAACAACTTTTCCTTCTTTACTTCCTTTGATTATGTTCATCAAAGTTTTGAAATTGGCCTTGTCTTCATCAGACTGAATATGAAAATCAAAGGAGATTAAAAATTAAACAATTTGTTTTTTGACAATTGCAGTACCTGGTCTCTTTGGTGGAATTTAAAGGTAGGCATCCCTTCCTCGCTATTTTCAGCTGCTAGCTGACTCAGGAATTCAACCTTCTTTTTTGATGCCAAGAAGTGAACCTCATTTTCAGCAAAAACCATTACACAATCTGCTAGCTCAAGGCCAAAGAGCCATAGCTGGTTACAAAATAATAGCATTAAATATTTGATGAAATTATTGGGTTTTTTTCTTACTTGCAGTGCGGTTGATTTGCAGTAACTTATCTCCTTCGTATTGCCGACTGGAACAACCAATGCGTCCATGTTTTTGAAGCCACCCTCGCATTTGTGTTCAGGCTCCTGTAATTCAATATTAGTTTAGGGCAACGGCCAACGAGCTTATAATTAATGGTTTCGCCAAAACTAAAAGCAGCCTATATGTTGTCAGCAACTGTTATTTCACCTTCCACATGTCGTACAAGCGTTTCAGTCTGCGCGAGAACGCATCTTTGTCCAGTTTGTAGCTCGAGCCCATTGTGGGATATGGATCGGGGATGCTGGTCGGCGATGATCACACCATAAATCTAGCCGAATATACGAAAAATCAGCGAACTCTTGAGGGCACAGACAGGAGTTTTTTACTTTCCGGACCAACAAATATAATTATGGCCAATGCCGCGAACCGCGTCTGCATACAAACAACATGCGCTCAACACACAACCCGCACACACAGAATGCACTCTCTTATCTCTGGAATGCACAGAATTCATCAACTCTGTGCTCTTTGCCTCAACAAGAATGTTGTTGCCCCTGGCCCCTGCTGGAGCTGCACTAGAAAAAGAAAAGAACATTCACACTCCACCTAGCGGTGGAAAACACAAGCATACATAAATGCAAATCACAAAAAAAATTATGTAGCTCCCGAGCTCCGCAAATTATAAAATGTCAAAATAATAACCACAACCACTATTTATACACTATTATGTCAAGTTGGACCTGCTCTCTTACTTGTTGCCCACTGAAACTTTGCAGTTCACGCTCTCACATGGGGACCAGATTTGGGACCTCATTATAGCGATCAATATGGCTTGTCCTCGACTAGCTCCTGCAAGAAAAAATCTGATGAGCTGCCTTAAACAGCTCCATCTCAACTCCTCTATCAATCTGTCTACAATCCTCTTAACAAATAATAGACAAATCTATTTTGCACTGCATGCCCTGTTTCAGGTCATCTTTCCCAAATGTAAATACAACTAGTAAAAATTAAACCAACATAAATAAGACCTGGCTAAATGGTATTAACTATAGCCAATTAAATCAAAATACAACAACAACAATATATGGCATGACCTTGTAATGCAATTCTTTTGATTAAGGTCAAGGTCAATTTTGCTATAATTATAAGGACCCTGCGCTTTGGTTTTAAGCTGGTTTGTTGCACAGAGTTTTGTTGCCCGCGTTCTCTTGAACCACAAATGTTTGATTTTTCATACCAAAAACCGACGCTAGATGTATGTAGTCTGTAGTGCTGCCTCATGGATTTATTTATGAGCACAATCAAGTATTATATGCATAAAGTTCAAGTTGCTCGATCCATATATGTATGCTTTTGGAATATTTTTAACAAAAATCATACCTTCGAAGGCACTGCATGTATAATAAGAAAGAAAGAAAGAAATTGAGCATTAGTTGTTAATTATTTTCAAATAGTTACGCGTTTTGCTTCACTTGTGTCCTTTTATGTACTCGCGACACGCGTTATAATTATTGGTATTCCTCTATTTTATTTCGCAGACGTAAAGAGCATCTCGCAGCATATTCACTGCAGAGAGAGAGAGAGAGCGCTTAGCCTTGATCGTTTGTCTTGTCCTTTCTTTTTTCATTTTACTTGTTGTTGTTATTTGTTGCCCAAACGATGGAATCACAGGCGCGCGCATCTTCTTGTTGCGCGACCTGTGCTGTACATATATGCAATATCGCCGTGTCGGAAGATATGAAACAAACTCCTTGATATAAAAGATCACGTTATTTATAAATGTGAACGGCCAAAAGCTGTCGTTGTGTGCACGCGAGGGCGCAGTCTGCTTTAGAGAATGAAGGAGGCATAAAAATTTTCTTATATTTTATCCAGTTTTAACCTTTTAACTATTTTGTTAACTTTTTAAAACTATTAAAAATATGTGTATAGAGATGATAATAGAATAAATATATCATAAGATATGTTTAATTATTAAAACAAAAAATATTATTCATTTGTAACAGAAATACCCCATTTTATAGTTTAAGCAATATTTCGATTAAAATCGAGGTAAAAATAATTCACCAAAATTTGTTTCTGAAATGAAAAATTAGATTAATTTTGTGCGGATTTTTTTAATGTTTTACTACTTAAGGACTCCTTATTGACATAGTCAAATCAAGTCTTTACAACAATGGTGATTAAAATTTCCAATTGTCTTTCAACAATCGCAAAAATCTGTTTATATTGTTGTAAGGACTTGATTTGACTATGTCAAATAAGAAGTCCTTAGTAAAAGAGTAATTAAACACCTTCCAAATTATATAGCGTCGTTACATATCTATAGTTTTAGACGCGAGAGCTTCTCTGCTCTCAAAGCACCTCGTAGCAGCCTCAATCGACTAAACGGCAAACCATTATCTCTTTGCCAAGAGCGAGAGGTATGGCCCAGAATATGGCGCGTGTTTTAGACAATGGATCAATATTGAGAACCACGCAGCCCTTCCAACCACACCCTTTAACACCCAGTATTTGTTCTCAGGTTTTTCGTGATACAATCGAGCGCCTGTTGCACCTTTCTTTTCTTATTGTTTTATTGCTTTTGCAGGTGGGTATTATTGAAAGTAAGGCGAAGTCCTTTATATTTACCTTTTTTTATTTTCTCATCCCCGGTCTACACAGATTCTAAAAACGGAAAATTTTCACATTTGCACAATTATCCAATAGCGCGTTATAAATTATTGCAAAAACATAAATAAATCTAAAAAAATCTAATTTTCACAACACGCACTTTAATTTTTATTTTCAATGGCATATTAAATTTATGATATATATTTTTTAAATTAAAAAATTCCAGCCTGTTTCTTCAGGTTGGCTCTTCTCCACTGAGGCAGACCTTCAAAAGCGGAGATGTCCATTCCAAAAACCTGCTGGAATTCCTCCTTGTTAAGGTGCAGTTCCTTGTTCATGGCGTCAACGTCCTCGGGAAGCTTCTCGGCGTCCTTTTCCAACAGGACACTCAAAGGGTACTTGGGGTAATCGTCGAAGGAGGTTTTTCCGTTGGCAGCACCCATGTCCAACTTGATGACGCCGTTCTGGCTGATCATCTCAGCCTTCATCTCTTCGAAGGATTTGTTTTCGCTCCACAGGGCCGGATTCCAGGTGCCGAAGAAACCGGTGAAGTTTGGCGGTTCATAACCCTGTTTGATTTGGATGAATGGCGTTCCTGTTCCGCGGCCTATAAAATTTTTTCCCAATAATATTGTAATTTAAATTATCACCGAAAAATGAAGAAAACACTAGCTATTATTATAGTGAGCTAGCAAGCTTTTAAATATTTTTAATTTGGATATAAGAAGCTACTTGACTCAATATATAACAAGAAAGTGTAATTATATTTATTTTCTTGGTGCATATTAGGCAATAACTTTTCAAAATTTTGTGTTGCAATTAAAATGGTGAGATATTAGGTGAAATATCTCAAAATAGGTTGCAATTTACTAAAATATGTATTTCCCTCCATTAAAAACATTATTTTCAATAATATTAAATCCTTTATTTTTTTACTTAAAAAGTAGCAAAGGAAGCTTTCAAAATAACTTTTACCTCATCTACTCTTTTCCCCATTCGTTAAAAATTAACTCATTTTAAAATACCAACTAAAAAAAGTGAAACGAACCTGAAGGGTCCGTCTTGAGGTACTGCATGGCCAGTTCAAGGGTCGCCTTTTGCTCGTCCTTGCGCGAGTCCTTTCCAATCCAGATGAAGATGCACTCATTCGCGTCCAGCAGCATGACGTCCTCCTGAATTAAGTCGGTCTGGGCGAAGTTGACAATTTCTTCCGCCTTGAACTGTCCGGACGCGTTGGAGCACTGGAAGAGACGCGCGGGCATCGCGTCGGACGCGTCAGACAGACGCTTGCTGTCCGCGTACGCTTCCTTTCCGCCTAGCATTTCCCAGAATTCCGGCTTTTCCTGGCCTTCGGAAACGAAAATATGGTCGCTCGCACCGACCTTTTTGGCCACACCCTTGCCCATTTCACGCTCGTCACCAGTCGATCCTTTGCCACACCAGATGTACAGTCCTGACTTGGATTTAATCACGAAGACGTCATTTGTGTTTAGGGAGGATGCTCTAAAAGGAACCTACAGAAAAATTCAATATAAAAATTATCAAAGTTTTCCATAAAATTATCGATATTTTACATATTTTATTATTTAAAATATTTGCTACATGCGAGTCCTCTTGAGTGCATTCTATAGTTTACTGTATTAAATAGTATATTTATATTTTTTTAATCTAAACCAATTAATCTGAATCCTTGAGTGATATTGGTGATAATTCACTTGTTAAAAATTAATTAAAAATATTTTCATAAAAATATTTTTTAAACATTCAAAATAATTTGACGCCCATAGGCAAAGTTAATTGAAAAACGGTATATTGTATAATTTACTTTTCACTCATACCATCACAGATCGAATTATTTTAATTTAATTATTGTGATGTGATAGACTGAAGAAAAGCAGATCATAATTTATATTTTTGACCATATTGTACCACCTTAATTACTGAAAGCAAAGCCCTCAAAAGACAAGCTCAGCCATGGGAAACATTTCCAAATGTCTCTATTCTATTTCACATTTTTTAGTTTATTATGGGCAAAATGTCAGGTGAAAAAATGCGTACCTGAGTAGCCCTGGTGTTAGTCTTGCTATTTCCGTACACTTGCAACATGTACTCCTCAGGGATAACCCAATCCCTCTGCTTCTTGGAAGGGTCGTCCTCATCAAAGGACGACGCGTATCCACCACTGATAATCATGAATCTCCCAGCAAAGAGAGACAAAAAGTGCGGTGGTTCTTTTCCCTGCGTGACTCGAACTTGCACTGCGGCACCACCCAACTCCTGGTCTTTCTCAATAACCTTCAGGGCAGCCGTGCCTTGCTCATCTTGAGAACTTTCAAGCCCCTGTCACAAAAATAACGAATTTTATTAATGAAAACTTCAAATTTCAAATCTAGCCCTAATCAATGTTTTTGTAAATAAATCGCTCGTTAAAAGCATATTTTTTTCAAATAAATAAATTTAAATTAAATTTGCTGCTTTTAAGTATGTGTTATGTACATTATTTTTCGAAATACTTATAATTTAAAAAGAAACTTACCATCCAGTAGTAAAGAATGTATTGTTCTTTGGAGCCGTTCAAGTAGGTGTACTTGAGGATGTAGCAATCACCAGAGAAGAAAATTCCCTCAAATTTGGGATCGACGGTTTCAAGACCAAATTTCCGCACTCGCCAAAGTTCCTGGTGACCAGTTCCGTCGTCAACCAACTGCGTTTCGGCGGCCATCTGAGGTCTTTCGTGCAAACTCGTCGCATCAAACACGGTGGAAATTGACCTTGCTATTCTGTTAGCTACATTATAAATAAAATTAAAAAATTAAATTTTTTTATAAAATATATTTAACATAAAAATTTGTCACATTTGCCAGTTTCATAATGTACTTTTCATTACTTATTCTTTTGTGTTATTTTTCATTGAAACTTGGCGTTTCCTTAAAAACTATGCCAATGAAATGTTTTTTTGGTATTTGTTTTTAATGATAATCTGACAATGAAGATTCTTACTTGAATTAGGTTTGTTCAGCATTCCAGTAGGCGAGGTCTGGTCTTTGTTCTTCCAGGACGTGAAGAGCTGCTTGAAATCAACCGGTTCTCCACCGTCAATGACCCTGGTCACGGCCGTGTGACTCGGGTAGCCCTTCTTTTTGACAAAACCGTGGGCATTTCGCATCGCCTCCACTCTCTCCTTAGGACTGGCTTTCTTTCCCACCCACACCCAAATGCCATTCGAGCCGTTGTCCACAATATACGAGTCCTAATTTGGAGAGAATAAATATGTTATTTAAGCTTTAAAAAAATACAATAATGTATAATAAGTGCGTTTAATTCTTTAAATATATTGAATTTAATTAATTGTGAATTTTTCTATCTTCAAGAATAATATTTATAAAAATAAATGAGTTTTTACATTTGAACTGAGATCGGACTGGTCCAGAGGTCCTGATTTGACTTCAGTCACTTTCAAGGTGCCAGAATCGTCGCTGCAGTGGTACAACCGAAGTTGCTGGCGGGCTGCGCTTTCGGCGGCTGCGTCGTTTTCGTCTTCAGTCGCAGGGGCCACTTCTCTCGCATTCTTAGGATCCAGGTAGACTGACAGGATTTTCCTTTCCACCTCAGGAAGGCTCATTTCGCCTCCCTCCTCAATGAAAACAACGCCGGTTGCCTCATGCTCAACTTTCAATTGCTGGGCCATCTGTACAATTTAATTTCGTTTATGGAGACTCATATAAAAAGTTACTGCGTTTGTGTATATATTTTCTATTAATATTTAAGATACATCAGAGAAAATATATTTGACAAAACTTTTTTATAAAATTAAAAACATAAATCAAAAGATTTTAAGAAATGAAAGGTAAAGTAAATATATATGGGATAACTTTTATCGGTATGTAGACATTTTAAGAACTAAAGAATTAAAAAACAAATAATTTGTCCATTTTAGCATTTAAGAAGCGCTTAAAAATTTCATTGAGAGAGGTTTTTCTACCTTAGCTGCAGCCAGTTTTTCCATTTTATTTGCTGCTTTTCCTGTCCAGACAAACACTATGTTCTTGGTATCAATGATAAAGCAGTCGCCGCTGTTCATGTTGCTCCAACTGATGGCTGGCATTTCAGTCATGGCGGGTGACCTGCGTCCCTTCACCCTGAACAGTCTGGGCGTGAAGTTGTCAGTCGTCTTTTTGAAGCCAGAGGAAACGCCGCCTTTCATCATTCTACACATTGAAATAGCTTATCAGCGTAATAATTTAAAATGCGCGGGCACCAAATACGGATATTCACAAAGCATAACAATTTAAAATGCAGTAATTTAACTTATTTGTTTAATTCATCAAACTTTTAATTCAACTGATTTATTATTTGGGGATTTTTTGACAAGAAATAAACAAATTTCAATGAAAAAACAGCTAAATATTTTTAAATTGCAGCACCCAAATAAAAATTATTAACAAACAACACTGGAAATTTAATAAACATGAAGATTTTTCTATTAGATAAAAGTCTTTAAATAATTTAAAAAAAAATACTGTAGAAGATAATAACAAAAAATTTGAATTTTAAGTGACATGAACAAAAAATTGGATACATTTTTGAAAACTAAATAATTCTCAAGATCTCAATTTGACTATGAAGATTTTTTATTATTAACAAAATTTAAGTTAAGTTTACCTCATTCCTTTGGTGAAATAACCCTTAAATCTTGGTGTTTCTTGGCCCTCGACCTCGCGATGCTGGACAGGTCCACCACCCAGGAGGTCATCGAGCTCCACCGTTTTGTAGGCAGCAACACCAGCTTCGTCTTGGGTCGTTTCTAGACCAAGCCAAAAGTGAAGGTGGATCTCAGGAGATCCTTTTACAGGGGACGGCTGGAATTTTTTTATTTTTGCAATTAATTCTTAAAAAATAAACTGAAGCCCACCTTCATATCCACTGTAGCCGGCTTGCCATATTCAGAGGCAGCATAAACAATGTAGGAGTCGCCTTCATAAAAGTGCCCATATTGATCACGCGGAAGAGGAACAACTTTTAAGTTCTGGAAAATTAAATTGCTTATAAGTAGTTATTTTTTCTATAATATATTTTAATATTTAGATCACTACTTGAATTTTTTTTAATAAATTCTTTCTTTTCTGCACAGTATTTTGTATTTAATAAAGGATAAAATGAAAAACATCACTTGAAAGTTTTTACAATAATATGTGCTGCTCACAATCAGTTGAAAAATTACTTTTCTTTCAGAATGAATATTAAAAATATTTGTAAAATTTGATAGCGTCGGGTGTTGCTGCACCTTTGGCCCCGGGATTTACCTCAATTCTCCAGATGTATAAACCGGTCGAGGCGCGTGGGATGGTGGCAAAGGCCGGGTCAACGTTTGCTGCGTTGTTGCCTGACATGGTGCCCAACTTCAGCTCAGAATCCCACTTCACAAAACAGCCTGCCTATGTCCACCAGAGTCTGTCTCTGAAACAAAAATCGCCCTTTTTATTGCACATTTTATCTCTCGCCGCGATTAATTTTATCACAAGAGCGTCCCTATCTATGCAACATTATATAGTTGTACATGCTAAAAAAAAATCTTATGGGTAAAGAGGGAGGACTCAACTTTACTATAGGATAGGAAGATAATCCTTCATCAAGCCCCGCACTTCTCAATCTTTGACACATTGCAGAGATTTTTGGGGATAGAAAAACAAAGCTATCTTATCTAGGCGTGCCTTTGACCAAGCACCTTCAATCGATCAGCCCAAAAATGCATATAATGTTGGAATATTCTATTATATATATTTGAGACTCATTTTCCGAGCCCAATGTTTGTTTTTCTCTCGAGATTGCCGCCTGAAGACAAAGAATTTCACAGATTTCAATAGCACCATACAATATTATCTTTTAGCCTAATTAGTAAGCTTTTAAAAATGCATGGACAAAGGAATGTGTCACACTCTTGAACTACAATTTTTGAGATGAGACACATTATTTGTTCAATGTAACATAATTATATTAAATATTTCTTCATTACGGATACAAAAACATAGACATGATTCCCTATTTCAAAATCTTTAGAAAATTTGATAAATAGTATAATTCGTATAATTATTCTTAATACATCGTGAAATTTGGCTGCATTTAATTTTTCAAAAAAAATAATAGTTATCCAGGTATAAGTGTACATTTTAATTAAGTGACCAGAGAATGACTAACTTTATTTTAATATCTCCCCACCTCCTCTCAAATTGATGTTGATGTCTCACGACTGGAATTTAATCATTATCATTCCCTGTAATTTTAATTTACTTTTGTCACACCATTTAGTTTAATGATATTGTACATCATAAAAAATGTCAAGAGATTAATTTCTGACTTCATTACCAAAAGATTTTTTACTACTTATCAGTTAACGACTTTGATAAAGCAAATATTGTTCAATATTCCGTTATCAAAATTTTTTTAAGGCGCCAGCTTAATTTTGCATTATTTTTGTTCCCCAATTGAATCCCAACTACAGAAAAACAAAGATCGCTATGAAAAAAACCAGTTGCAGATTGCGACTAATTTCGCTGATCTGATCATCGAACGCGGGAGGGCGCTCTAATTAGCGCTTTGAAGAGGAAATAACCCACTCTCTGACAGGACAATGGGTCATCTCTCTCTTTATCTCACGCGGTTGCCGCCGAGGCCGTTACCACCGGCAGCCAGATAAATCGGTATGCATGGAAATAAATTAACGTGTGTGTTTGTTGCCAGAGACGCCGCCGCTCTTATTATGTATTTATAATGGCCAATTTTGAGTGGAAGAGAGTAACGGGACCTTTTCCACCGCATCGGGAATATTATGCAGCAATAATAAATAATGAAGTCTGACTCAAATTTTAACGTCACAATTTCAAGACGAGACGTGTGCAAAATGTTCTCAGGATCGTTGGAGTATTAACTGGTATTAACAAAAGTTTGACTTCGTCATCGTTCGCAAAATTGTTATGGACTGGCTGAATTTTCAGATTGAGACAAGGATAAAATATAAAAAACTTTCATTCATAACGTGCCCATTAATATAATGTTTGCTAACCTTGCCTGGTAAGCTTTTCATTAGCAGAGCGTGAGTTTTAAATTTTTTTTTTGGATTGACCATAAAATTTTAGGCAATTAATTATTTATTAATAAATCACCACCGCCCTTACAATTTTTGCTCTGCTGATTATTGCTCTGCAACACAAACGAGGATGGTTTATACACTTTATTTTCTTATACAAGCTGGAACTCTTTTTAAAATTATAAAAATTAAAAAGGCAATATTTCAATTAAATTGAGCAGGTAACTCGCTTTACAATTAAACTAATTTACACGCTAAATAATTAAAATTGCATCTGTCAGAAGTTCGCATGACGCGCAACAAGAGTGACAAGTGGTTGTTTAATGAACAATACGTCGCTAATGAGCAACTCATATTTGAGAGCAACGTGTACGTCTTCTCGTCATTTGTTATTTGCTCTCCGGCCGGCGTTTCCTTTCCTCGTATTTTGTCCGTCTCGGCTCCACAGCTGAAAGAATCGCTTCTTTTTCTCGCGTTTTTTACCCACCGACCGACAGCAAGGTATTTTGTTCTCCGGAGGCCGATTTGACCTTGCCAGTTCATTTCTCCCTTCGCGCTTACATATGTGGCGTGACTCCCCAGATAAAAAAAACTATTTTCTCTCAGGGTGCAAGAAAGGTATAGGAATAAAAATGTATATAAATTCCTCAGCCCGAGGAGAAGCAAGCATGGCCGCTTAGGATAATAATTTATATACATCATCTCTCTACTCTGCGTGGTGTTTTAATGCCCATTTGAATATACACAGAAAAAATGAAATGCTCAGTGACTTGAACGAATGCGTTTTGTGTCTGAGTGCGTTCTAAATGAAGTACATACAGAGAACGTTTCGGGCGACGCTCACTCCCCAAGAGTTTGGATTGTGTCATTATGAAAAATAATGTAATTGCCTGCCTGCTACTTCAGTGGTGCGAAAAATTGCTTCCATCTTCAACTCCACATGCAGGAAATGGAAATTTGTGTGCAATATAACAGTTTGGGATTTCAACCTCGATTAAAATTAAATTTTTTCAGCGCAACTTAGAATATCAAATAATAATTTCCCTTATTTATTTTCGTCTCAATTTGAGTAAATTGTATTAATAAAAGTAATATATTTACGCAGAGAAAAAAATAGTACAAAGTGAACAATTCTATGTAATCAGTTTTAGAATTTAAATTTTGGTTTATTAAAATAGCAAGCAACATTGTTAGTGGCAAGCTTTATTTTATTGCAACTAAAATCTTTATATTGAATGATTCGAATGAGAGATTAAATCAGTCAATTAGAAATACTGCTGCTATTTTTGTGATTTTTTAAAGTTAAGAACTAAAATTATTATTTCTGATTTATTAAACAAGAAGAGTCTTGAAATCATATCAAAATTTATCTAATATTGAATTTCACAAGACACTTAAAACTTATTTTGCAATCAACGGCCTTATTTAATTTTTGTCCATCTCGCACAAACATATATTTTTTTTCCTACTTTTTATGTTGGATAATTTCACTCTTAGATTTTGAAAACGCTTTCAATTAATGAAAATATCGTACCCAAAGAAACGAAAATTAAATTTATTAGAATACAATTACGACCAAATTCCTCGGATCTTTTAATTATTATTTTTAAATTTTTATAGAACTATTTAAATTATTTTTAAAAAGTTCATTAAGAAATATACTTGATGAATGAAGATTAATAAAAATAAACTTATTATTTTAATAAAACATAATATTATAAAAAATATTTATATTAAAATACTTGTTATTGCCTAAATTTTAATATATTATAAATAAGTAATAATGGGGGATATGAACTTGCTCTCTTGCTAATGGGATTTGCTGGTGCTTATAACTTAGCATGTAAATATCCCCCAATATTTTTTTAAATAATGTTACCTAAATTCTTACAACGTGCAGCAAACTGAGGTTATTTTGTTGGATCCAAATTTAGATTTAAAAAAACACCAACACTCAATCACACTCACAGTCGTCCTTCCGTGACAAAACAAACAGCAATCTACAATCAAGAGACTCGGCGTGACTCTCGGACACAGAAAGGCTATTTTCTCGTCGCCACGAAGCACCACCACAATATAATATCATTCAAAGCTTCTTATTAAACTACACTGGCGGAAAAATAATGGAAATTCCAGTGTGCCGCGGCAGCAGAGAGCGGCGGCACCTGCTGCTGCATGCTTCCTCGGGAGGCACTGACCGCGGCGGCCGCCGGACGGAGGGACCGCGGCCGCCGCGGTTCCCCTCCCCCCTCCCTATAACTGAAAAATAATGCTGTAACGGCGCACGCACAAAACCAAAGGGTTCTCCTCTACCTGTCGGATGGAGAGAGACCTGAACGCGGGCAATTAATCGCCCTCCACCAACAGCAATACACTATTTTTCATCCTACTTTTCTACTGGCGCCATGATTTTATGATTTGCGTGTGGATTTGAATTTTTAATTAAACGAATTGTGTTTATCTTCACTTTATTCCCTCCAGACCGCGTGTTCACAAACCGTGTTCCTCCAAAATTATAATACCGTACGGTAGGTGAAATGTTATCTCATCGAGCAGTACAGAAACAGGTTGTTAATTTTAATGCGACCTGCTGGACGACCTTAATTTTTAGTGGGCTACCAGGGTTAGATTCTAAACAATTTAAATGAGCTAGAGTGCTAAAGATAATAATAAATAGGTAGCAGATTTAAAGTTAATTTGTTTACCAAGCCCGGTGGCCCAGTGGTTAGAATGCTTGCATTCTAATCAGTGAGTTCCTCGGCCGTCATGGGACCAATGCTCAGCCTGGGGCTCTTTGTGGAAACAAATAGTCTCTGGTATGCGAATCATTGATAACATTTCGGCCGACACGTCGGGAATTTGGGAGGTATGGCGCAAGCTGTACCGACTCGCACTCGGAGGTTTGCCACGTTTCCTCCGAGCCACAAGCTGGAAGAACTCAGCTTGTGTGGCGAATGCCTGCGTTTCATTACAAGTCCTTCGTGGCAAGGCCAGGGCAAGGGGCAAGGTCTCAAGGGGGGTGGGGGGCCCATGCGAGCACCACCAAATCTGCTAGAAAGCCCCCGAACAAGGGTCAGGTTGGTTGGGAAGCACAAATGTGCTAAGGGTGCTTGACTTTGGCAAGAGACCGACCCAATAGCCTAATAAGCTCACGGGTGCCATAAGAAAAAAAAATTAATTTGGTAAGAAACATTCAAGTACAAATTTTTCTTATAAAAAAATAATTACATTTTTAAAATAATTTTCGTTACTTGCCAAATCAAGAATGCAACATCGTTATGTGATTCACCCAAATTAAATAACATCCGCAACCGTCAGCCAGGGACAACCTTTAGAATCGTAAAATATTAGCCACGCCAATAAGCTACCATTCTGAGCTTTTCTTACCTTATACTTATATTAATTAATATCCGATGTACAATAAATATTTTTTCTTATAAATAAATATAACATTATTATCATTTGCTTGATCCGTTTTGAATGTTATTTTTCTCTAATGTATGTATAATTTATTTATTTGTGAATGTATGTAGTTATGGGCAGAAAATTGCCTTCTGGTACAATCTATAAAAAAAAAACTAAATTTAATAGTCTCCTGGCACCGCATGGAGCAGCCAGTTGTTTTCCATTCATTGTCACGCCGACTCTCCCTATGGTACTTCAAATAAATTCACAGAAGAACTACGACAGGGTCGACAGGACAATTCATAACAAACGTAATTTTTCATTTTTGGTGTTCAATTAAAGAGGATTTCTTACCCTGAATTAGCAAGAGGTAGAAATTAAAAAAAAAAAAAAAAAAAAAAACTATATTTAAATGGAAGATTAAAATGATTATTTCACAATATGAATTGGAACTATGACTTGTACCCATTCTCTTGAAGTATACCAATAATTGCTATCTTTGCTTGTTACAATTTAAATTTAAGTAATATTTTTATTAAGTCTCTCTGTTAAAAAGATTTAGCGTTATAATATCTTCTTCCTTCTATATATTCAGTTAATTATTATTTTCAAGCGTCAAGATTTAAACTCTTTGTATGCAATTAGCTTGACGTTTTTCATGGATTTTAATTTACTAAAATTTATTATGTTCTCAAACTTATCTCACCTTACTTATTTACTAGAGCCGACATGCGTTTATGAGTGGCGCAGAAACTTTACTCGCAGCGCACTTTGATGTACGTACAGCTGATATAGTTAATGTTTCCGCCGGCTGTGCACCTGCTGCTGAATATCTGGTTGAAACCAACAGCCTTGATTTGAACGCTCCAATGCCCGTAAAAAATGCTGATGGCGCACATTGCGGCCGAAAATGTGGTAATCTTTTGCCGGAACACACATCTCATTTCTGCTCGCCAAGAAGCATGAAATTTAGCAGTAAATTTCAATATGCGTCAGACCCAATAATTAAATCACTGCAAATTTTTCCATTGTGAGAATTTTTTTGAAAAATGATGTTGCCAAAATTTTGACACCGAAACGCCATTAGTTAAATTTTATGTTAGCACACTGTTTGTAAAATTATAATTCAATTTTATCACTTTAGATTTGATTTTGTGAATTTCGGCCATGACGCGGAAAATTACTTCACGGCTGACTGATTTTAATTGCCTGTGCGAGTGAGGAGAGCGGCCGAATGTATATTTTGAATTGATGAGAGCAAGATGACGCGGCTTGTTCTGCTTCACTGTGATCCAATTTACATGCATTTACAGTTAAAACAACTTTGGCTTAATTAAACCAACGACTCTGCGCAATTAATCTGCTTCGAATCGGAAATTACGATATGAGCTTAGATTGGCAACGAGAAATAAATTTTGCTATTGTTACTAAAAAATCATGAACTCCAAATTTCTACTCATGAATTAAATTAATACTTCAAATTAAATGAAGAATAACGAATAACCATTTCAAGTGAAATTTTTTTGTCCAATAATTTCATAAAATTGATCATTTTCTCGTTAAAATTAAATTTCCCTTTCAAATGAAAATCTTCAATTTTTTTCAAAGAAATTAATCGTTAATTTAATGCCTGCAAACACTATTTTTATGTTTCAATTATTTGGACATTTTAATAAGGAATGGGTTAATTAAAAAAGGGAGTGTAGAATAAATCTTGTCAAAATATTAAGAAATAATGAAGAGCAGTCACTCACCGAAGATGATGTGTTCGTCTCCAAAACTGTGATTAACAGTGACGGGTGATGGAAGACCTTTTGTGCCTGCAGCTTCTCATATCTTTCCCCCACTGATAATGGTATCACCATATTAAACCCATCAGCCAAATGCCAGGTGATAAAGTGGAATGACTAAAAGCCCCTAAATGGAGAGCTTTAATTTGATTGGCCGCCCGATGGTGGCTCGCACACAATGTAAATTCACTCTATTCCTTATCAATGCCGGTTTTATGAGATTTGTCTCTTCCCAAACACTACGAACATAAAAATTTTTCAACGCCAAAATTTGATCTGAGCCAATGAAAGAGTTTTAGCCAATTTTATTAAAACTGCCTTAATAAACAGTTTTCTAAATTTATTTCCAGTCAAAATTTGCTTTCTGACCCAAGAGTAATGAAAACTTGGTCGATAAAAGCAGAGCAGTTCAGCTCAAACAGAGCAATTTCCAAAATACTCTAGGGTTATCAATTTTTGAACGCTTAGCTTTCGATAGTCTCGCCAGTTTCGAATCTAATGTAATCCAAGATGGTTGCCTCGTTATCTTGCAAAATGTTGCCACTGTGAGGTCACTGTCAAGCATGCAGGAATTCTTGGAAGATGAGAACGGACTCCGAATCTGAATCTGGAATCGCGCGACTCGACCGGCTCGCGCGACTAGTTAGTTTGGATGCAAAATTGGAGAAGAAAACAAAAATTAATTCTTAATTGTCCCTTATTATTCCAACTCGCGCGACTCGACCGGCTCGCGCGACTTATATTTTACTTAAAAAAATTCCCGAATAGTATATAAAATATTTGTGCCAAAACTGTCTATTGAAACAGGTTTTTGGTGGTTGTTGGTCAAAATCATAGAGAATTATTAATTAATTTTAATAAGCGTTAATTTGTATAGCTAATTAGAGCAAATATAGCACAAGAAGATTAATCAGTTTGATTTTTCCCTTAAAAAACTGGGTATATCATAATAAAATCAATTCCACCACGAATTAAACCATGCCGTTCCACGAATATTAGTCTTATAGGTGCGCTCAAGAAGTTTATAAATAAAAAAAAAATCACCACATGTTATGAGAAAATTCTGTCGGTTCCCAACTTTTTAGGACATTGAATTTAAATTTGTATGGAGACTATGATATTTCCCTACAAACGATGGTAATTTCATTGTGATAGCACTACACTATTAATAATAGCGCACTTCCAAACTTTGGCTTCAAAATCTTTTATTTCCCATTGCTTTCCATGTATTTGACCGCTTTCGCGGGCTGATTGTAGGCTCATACGCGGCGCATGCGTTTCGAGAAAGCTCGGCTAATTCCCCTTCGCCAGCATTACACAAATCGTGCCTTTTTCGTAGCATTGGCAGCATAGGGAGTGGAGTTGGACCAACATGTGTGCTTTTGCTTCGCCAAGCGACGAAAGTTGGACGAAAGGAATATCAGCGGCACTCGCGCCATCTAGGGAGCAATATGTGTACCGCGTCGAGCGCCTCTCGTGCAGATCCAACCAGTGTATGATCTTGAAAGACAACACAGCAGTTTCTTCTTGAGCAGGTTGCTTTAGCAGACCAGCGCAAAAGGTATGTAATTATCACAAGTTGATAAAATACGCTTTTACACCTTTCGACCTCATTGGGCGCGATCTCCGTCAGAAATACAACTACCCGAGCAAGACAATGTTCATTCAAATTAACTCTCCCGCGCAATGTTAATAGCGATTAAAGCAGGAGGAGAGCGCGCGGCATACCGGAGAAGGAATTTTAAAACCCATAAAGGTATTTTAGGAAGAGGGAGAAAGCGCGTATGCTGGCCCATGCTTTCTGGCCGAGTTGCCAGCACATGCGCACTTGGAGGGAAGAGTTGTAAACAAATCAAAGTTTTTCTCAATATACTGGTGGTGTAAAAAATTAGAATTATAGTGTTTTCCGACAAATTGCTAACCTTTCGTGCACAAAATAAAGAACTTAAAGACCTCAAAGTAAAGAGACGTTAGATTAACATGGAGGACATAAATAACTACAACCTGTTGGAAGCGGTGAAAATAATTTTTTACATCGCCAACATGGAAAATAATTTTGTTATTTTTTTATTAATAAATCTTTTGGTAATTAATAAAAATTCGATTAAAAAACATTATATTTTAGAACCATTAAATATATTGCAAATAAATATTCCACCTGAAATAAATTTTGCCTTTTAAAATTAAAGTGTTTTTTATTATCTAATTTATTTGTTTTAGTTTGAATACTAATCTCTAAAAATTAATAAAATGTAATATAACAATGCAACTCTTCGGCAGGTCATATTTAATTTAAATAATTTAAATTTGGATCATCATATCATAAGCAAACGACATCAATCAATGAACGCCGATTTTTTTATTTTTTATTCTTTTTATTTATATTTAAAACCATTCATTGAAGAAATAATAAATTGTTCTAACCTAAGATTTGGATTGAAATTTATATATAATTTGGTTATGACTTCCTTCTGTGTTTCAAGTCAGTATTGTTAAAAAAAATATACATTCTGGAAATTATAATGTGCCTGAAAAATCTTAGCATAATTCCTCATAATTGATTAACTTATTTATATTTGGCAAATGATGTAAATAAATGTTATTAATATGATTATTTGATATAATTGACTTTCAAAGTTCACGTCAGGTTCACGTAATCCTGAAATGATTTTATTATTAGATTATACAATTAACTTAAGTGGTGACATTGTTGCAATTTATTAATTGATGATATACTTTATTATTCAGGATTTTTTTTTTTATCAAATGTGCAATTAGCAAATTTTAATTGGAAATTAAGTATTCAAACATGAAAAACATAAAAAAATAATAACTTTAAGAGAAAGCTCTTGATATTTTAATTTTATTTAGCGTCGAATAAATTACTCTACGTTAGTCAATTATACTTAATTAATTTTAGTCCTCGTCTCCGTTACGTTCGTATCGCGACAGCGCTAAGTCAGTCGACTTATATATTTTTGATATTTTTGCTATTATTATGATTTATTTATTCACTCTTAAAAAAATAATTTTTTTATAGTTCAAGCATAAAAAGAAAAATATTTTTTATAGTTCGAACATAAAAAAAATTATTTTTATAGTTCGAACACACCGTTGAATCTGGGAAGCATAAAAAAGAAAATTTAATTGGCTAAATTTTTCCACCAAAGTTTGAATTTTTAAAAGTTGTCTTCATTTTTTTCAATAATTAATTTAACAAAAAGCTTTATATCTCCACTATGCGCGTAAAAATTTATGGAAAAAAATTTAGATGAAAAATTAGTTAATTTTATTATCTACCATTGGTGAAAATTAGAATTAACAGAATTATTAATTATCACATTTTACATGCAGTCAATTACTACAATATTTTTTTCAAATATTTTCACAATAATTACATTAAGGCCCTGTTTCTATGGTAAAAGTTACCGATCACACCACTTTTTATACATCAAACACAAATTTTTTGGTCCTAGCGATCACATGATGTCACAAACCGGAAGTGCGCAGCCGCCTTCCGGTTCGAGCAATCGCGTCCGAATCGTAAGATTTTGTTTTATTTTTAATTAATTTTACGCGACTGACAGTCAAAATCATGTGTCATTTTCAGATGCAAATTTTCAAGATAAATCGAATTCTGTACTTACTTTTCCAAAAATTGGAAGTTAAATTAATTTATTTTGAAAAAAACTGAAAAAATCCGGCTCATTTTTCATTCAAAGCGACCTGCTGCAAATTTTAGCCGGAGAGCATGGATGTTTACATTTTTTCCGCTTCTCAATGAAATAAACTTTTGAACTGTCCATGTCAAAAGGCAGCTATCCAACCTTACGGGGTATAAATCGGCTCTCAAAGTATGCACTTCCGGTGACTTTTGTCAAAATCACGGTGGCAGCCCTTGCAGCGTCGCCAATCTTGGTTGCCAAGCAACCAGCAGGCAGTGGCCGGCCGGCCGGCCGGCAAAAACAATGGCGCCTGCCGCGACGAGTGTAAATCGTAAATAGTGCTGTTTATTTTTAATTTCATCAGTGAATTTGATCATTAACGAAATAAAGAGTGACCCTAAATCGTAAAAAATAGGTAGTTACGCGAAATTTACTTCTATTTCTCGTGAACCAGAGTGAAAATTATGAATAAACTCGCTCTCAACTTTGGCCTCGCTTCGGTTATCACCATTCAAAGTAAGTCGATTTACTTTTCTGAGGTCTGGAAATGCACTCTTCCAACGTAAAATTTAACGCAGAATCGCCTGGTCACATTAATTTTGCGATTAGGTCGGCCGCCGACTCGTACGCGGCCGAGACGTCACTTGCCGCTGCCGCGTTTCATTTGGTGGGTCTTCGTCGGGGCCACCTTCGGACGAGAGCCGCTCGTTTCGATAGACTTTTGCGCGAATGCAGTATTTTTTTAGAACGCGTTAAATTAAATTATTCAAAGTTTCAGCATTGATACATAATTAAGTCATGTATATTTTGATATGCTGTTTTTAAATAAATTTTGACTAGGAGCGGAGTTATTAACGTTTCCGCGAGACTTTTGTTTTTTTAATTTTAAAATTAGAAAAAAAATTTTAAACATAAAAACCCTAAAAGAAAAATGTTGCCAATTAAATTTCCTACAATTTCTTTCACAGGCTTGATTATGTCAAAATTTTTTTTACTTATGAACGGAAGGCTTAAAGTCAAAATATAATTTTTTAACATAGAAGAAAATTTTTTAGAATTTTTTTGAGATGGCCAATCAATTGGAAATTTAATTTTGACTAGGGTGAGTAAATTTCATCAAAAAATATTGAGCTGTTTTCAAGTTGCAGCTTTCTTTTTCATGAGCGCACTAATGCCGCCTTCGTCTTCAAAAGCGCTTAGAGGTGCCATCACATTTTATTTTCTTATTTTGAAACGGCGCATTATTTTTTGATGAAACATTCATTCTTAATTCAAAATTGAATTTCCAATCGATTGGCCATCTCAAAAAAATTCTAAAAAATTTTCTTCTACGTTAAAAAATTATATTTTGACTTTAAGCCTTCCGTTCATAAGTAAAAAAAATTTTGACATTATCAAGCCTGTAAAAGAAATTGTAGGAAATTTAATTGGCAACATTTTTCTTTTAGGGTTTTTATGTTTAAAATTTTTTTTCTAATTTTAAAATTAAAAAAACAAAAGTCTCGCGGAAACGTTAATAACTCCGCTCCTAGTCAAAATTTATTTAAAACCAGCATATCAAAATATACATGGCTTAATTATCTATCAATGCTGAAACTTTGAATAATTTAATTTAACGCGTTCTAAAAAAATACTGCATTCGCGCAAAAGTCTATCGAAACGAGCGGCTCTCGTCCGAAGGTGGCCCCGACGAAGACCCACCAAATGAAACGCGGCAGCGGCAAGTGACGTCTCGGCCGCGTACGAGTCAGCGGCCGACCTAATCGCAAAATTAATGTGACCAGGCGATTCTGCATTAAATTTTACGTTGAAAGAGTGCATTTCCAGACCTCAGAAAAGTAAATCAAGGCACTCGATCTATCGGCAAACCTTGTCATACAATATTTCCGATTTTAATAAACTGCAAATTCGAGAATAAAAAGACGGGAAACGATGTTTATCAAATCGAACGTCTAATTAAAAGCAGAATAATTTTAGTGTTATTTAATAAGTCAGTAAAAACCATCTTAGAGAATAATTAATGTTTTGAATTTTGATTAACAAAACATGTGATTGACGATGTGGCAAACCAGCAGCGCACAGAGCCACTCTCGCTCCGCTCGCGACGGTGGCGCCGCGTGGTGGCAAAACGCTCATAGAAACTGGGCCTTAATGACACAATATTCTTGCAATGTTGTAACAATATTTTTTTCTACCAGTTCCAGATTTACGACGTAAAACCACAAACCACAATCATAGCACCATGGCTGCAGTTCAATTGCGGGTATCTGGTTTTTTCTTTATTGGAACATTTTATTTGATGAATATTAATTTCGACTTCCGTAGCCTTCCATAACTATAGGCATCGATGCTGGCACCAGCACATACCTACTCCAGTTGCCAAAACCCAGCGTAGATAACATCAAGAAGAAAGCAGACAAAAAAGAATTAATTGTATTCTTATGCAACAATAATGCCGGCGAAGATATAAAAGTCAATTCTAGTGAGAAGCAATTTTAGGCTGTAGAAAATGCGTTTATAAAATTTCTGTTTACAGCTCTTCATGAAATGGCCACAGCAGCGCATAATTTGCTAGACCTTCTGGACAGAAACATTATCATCGGGCCCTTACCGGTGGTGGCCGGTCAAGTGGCCGCTGCACCGCCACAGGCAGTCGGCCAGCTTGGCGCGGCTCCCGCCCCTGTGATGAATATTGCAGCTATAACTGCTATGCTAGGTGCGGGGTTTACTGCACTTGCTGCGGCACTGGCGGCGCCCCCCCCTGCCCGCCGCGGCGCCTGCCGTGCCCGCGCCCCCCGCCGCGGCGGCGCCGCCACCGGTGCCCGGCGTCCACGGTGGGCGAAAAAGTTATTAAGGAGTCAGCTAATTTTCGCAAGTTCAAGAGCATGCGTTGAATGCGCGAATTACAAGTGACATGTTTGCTTACTGTTTGTAAAATTATAATTCAATTTTATCACTTTAGATTTGATTTTTGAATTTTGGCCATGGCGTGGAAAATTACTTCACAGCTGACTAATTTTAATTGCCTGTGCGAGTGGGAGAGCGGCCGAATGTATATTATGAATTGATGAGCGCAAGATGACGCGGCTTGTTCTGCTTCACTGTGATCTAATTTACATGCATTTACAGTTAAAACAACTTCGGCTTAATTAAACCAACGGCTCTGCGCAATTAATCTGTTTCGAATTGGAAATTACGATATGAATAAAAAATAACCATTTCAAGTGTAATTTTTTGGGCCAATAATTTCATAAAATTGATCATATTCTTGTTAAAATTATATTTCCCTTTCAAATAAAAATCTTCAATTTATTCAAAGAAATTAATCATTAATTTAATGCCTGCAAACACTATTATTTTGATGTTTCAATTAATTGGACATTGGTGTGGAATAATTATTTTATTCCTCTCTTAATTTGTTTGTTTTGACTGTGGCTGTGTCATCGGAGAACTTCATTGTTATTTTTATTCAATTAATTTTCGGCTTACAATTAAATTCATTTTTTTAAGGGCTTTCTTTTTAATTAATCTTTTTTTAATTTCTGGCAATTGTTTTGAGTTGAATTCTTTTAAATTAATCTTGCGATTATTTTAAATTTAAAGTAGCTTTAAATTTACAAATAATTAGTATAAATTCAATTGGAATTAGCTTGTAGAATTCATGGGATTCCAATTCACTTCAAGGGAATTTATAGAGGCATTTTAGAATTCAACTGTAAATTCACAGAACTTTCTAGATGCATCTAGAAAGTTCTCAATGTAAATCAAATGGGTGGGTGGGTTTTGCACGACCCTCCCAGGGCTGCTACCCGCGCTATAAAAGGCGCTCCGTCCGCTGGCTCGATGCAGAAGGCTGACAGACCTCAGAGAAATCAGAGGTAAAGCTTCGACACTCGAGCCAGCTGACGGAGAGCATTAACCCTTTGCTCTCTGTTCGCAGGACACCTGGACACCCAGTGCAGTTTCGGACGCCCGTCCGATCCCTTCGCACCCGTCCGAGCTGTCCCACGGCGCTGACCGCTGTCCTGTCCCGGCGCTGTCTCGTCCGAGAACAGCCGGAAGGCCGACCGCGTCCCGAGCCCCTCGAGAGACACACCTGTGTCCCTCGTACTGTCCCGGATGCGGCTGAGCCGTCCGAAGCCGTACGGAGCAATTTTGCCAGGTAAGAGAGATTTGCAATTAGTCTCTCCCGGAGGCCTTCTTTTGGCCGAAAGGTCAAACCACTACGTGAGACGGAAGTACAGCCGAGTGACCTATTGTTTATGTCCCCAGCTCCTTCCTGTCCGAGGAATCGGGCGCCGACGTGGCACGCCGCCAGCGAGCGCTCGGACGAAGGCGTCCGAACGTCCGCCGCCAGAGACCTGCACGCCGTGGGCCCCGGCCGCGCCGAGAGCCGCCGCCGGCCTGCAGGAGCCGTCCGGGTTCCCAGCAAGGACGTTTCCAGGGCAGCCTGCCGGCCTACCCAGGGAACACCGCTCCCATTTGTTGATTTTTAAGTGACATTGAACGAACCAATTTCGAGTCAGTGAAATTTGCTCATTCTGCCAGAATTGTTGTGTTAAATAAAGCCCGTGTGTAAGCTGACCCAATTTGTTTAAACAAAATACCCCAACCAATATAGTTATTAACAATTAGCAATAGTAATAATTTAAACAATAGAAATTATTGAACAATTACCCATTAATAATTTAAATAAAATAGAATTTATTAAACAATTAAATAATCAGTCAGTATAATAATATGCAAACCCCTTACTTGCAACTTATTATTATTATTTTGGTTTGCAATAAACTAAATTTGTAATACCAACATTTTAATAAGGAATGGGTTAATTAAAAAGGGAGTGTAAAATAAATCTTATCAAAATATTAAGAAATAATGAAGTGCAGTCACTCACCGAAGATGATGTGTTCGTCTCCAAAACTGTGATTAACAGTGACGGGTGATGGAAGACCTTTTGTGCGTGCAGCATCTTTCCTCCACTGATAATGGTAACACCATATTAAACCCATCAGCCAAATGCCAGGTGATAAAGTGGAATGACTAAAAGCCCCTAAATGGAGAGCTTTAATTTGATTGGCCGCCCGATGGTGGCTCGCACACAATGTAAATTCACTCTATTCCTTATCAATGCCGGTTTTATGAGATTTGTCTCTTCCCAAACACTAAGAACAAAAAATTTTGCAACGCCAAACTTTGATCTGAGCCAATGAAAGAGTTTTAGCTAATTTTAATAAAACTGCCTTAATAAACAGTTTTCTAAATTTATTTCCAATCAAAATTTGCTTTCTGACCCGAGAGTAATGAAAACTTGGTCGATAGAAGCAGAGCAGTTCAGCTCAAACAGAGCAATTTCAAAAATACTATTCTAGGGTTATCAATTTTTGCAGGCTTTAGCTTTCGATGGTCTCGCCAGTTTCGAATCTAATGTAATCCAAGACGGTTGCTTCGTTATCTTGCAAAATGTTGCCAACTGTGAGGTCACTGTCAAGCAGGAATTCTTGGAAGATGAGAACGGACTCCGAATCTGAATCTGGATTAGGCGAGTCTGTTTCAGGGTCTCCAATTGATTTTGGACACATGCCTAAAACATGAGAAATGCATAATTTAGAACCAAAATAAGGTTAAAGGTGAGTAAAAGGAACAATCACGACTGTGAAAATGAAAATTATTAAACAATTTACATGAATAAAATAACTTCTTTTACAATTCTCATTTTCATTCGCCTTGAGAAAAATTTAAAATATAATTTTTAGTCTTTCTTTTTTATCTTTGTAGCTAATGCAATAAGTGATTCAATTTACACACAAACTTGGATGAAAACAGCGACTAAGTGAAGAATAAATTTATTTTCATAAGTTTTTTAAACATCAGCAAAAAGAAGTTTGAGAAATTTTGTATACCAGTAGTAGATAAAAGGCTGGCATGAATTCGGAACTGTTCAAAAGAGAAACACAATCTTGACAAAAATCAAGATTGGAAAAACCATGTCGTTTTCAAATTCTATTGATCTCTGGAAAAATTGAATTAATTCAAACCATTGTCAATGATAATATGAATTTTACCCTAACGAAAATACATTCATCACATATCAAGGAAATATATAATTTTTCTGCCAATTCTTACCAACAACATGCTGGCAAAGCTGTCGTCCTAGTAACTGCAATCTGTGTTGGTCTCCCTTGCCTTTGAAGGCAACCATGGCTCCGTATTTGCCGCAAATGATGTGACCAGGTTGTTCTTCTGCAGGGTGGGTGTAGCCTGTGAGTTGAATCAAAGGTTCCGTAGTTGTGAGAATGGCACACCGGCGCAGGGAAAGATTTTCTCCGACGTTGCCAATGGCCAGGGCAACGTGGTCAATCAAAGGGCCTCCGTCTTGCTTGCAAGGAAGGACTTTCATTTCCTCCGATGTCAGGAGCAACTGGAAAATTTAATAAATAATTAAACCAAGCCAAAGTAATTATTAAAACAGCAAGATTAAAAAATATTCAAGAACCGATATACTAAAAAACAGTTAGTAAATTATTTAATTAAATTTCTTTTAAGCACAATTCTCTGAAAAAATAATTTACTTCATAAATGATTATGTTTTTGATAATTATGAGAAAAAACTGGGTTTTGACTTAACTTTTTTACTGTAAAAAAATAGTAAAAATATAAGAACGAAGTTCGGAATAACTAATTTTCTTCTTCAGTCTATCTAAACAAATTAGGCTTATTACTGAAATTTTTGGAATAAACCTTATATTTTTTCACCTATATAGTTCAAGTTGAAAAAAAACATTGGAATATAAACATACTTTTGAAATTGGGACTGACGCCTGAGGTAAACTTTTGGCATGTTGGAGGCACGCGCTCGTGACCTGCTCGACTAATGACCTGAAGGTCTTGTTTCTGGCAACGAAGTCCGTTTCGCAGTTGACCTCGACCATGGTCACGCACTTTCCCGGTTGGGACGCGATTCCGATGAGGCCCTGGGCCGTCGCTCGGCCCTCCAGTTTGGTCGCTTTGGCCCAGCCGAGGGCCTTCGCCTGCTCGTGCAGCCACTTTTCCGCCTGATCGAAACACAAATACCAATCAAAGTCATTCAGGAAAATTGAAATCAAGAATAGGACGAGTACCTTTTCCATGTCATTGCCGCACGTTTCCAGGGCCTTTTTGCAGTTGCTGAAAGTGTAGCCGGTCTTCTTGCGCAGTTTTCCCAGCAGAGATTTGTCGAAGGTCGCCCACAGTCTGGGTGTCGAGTGGAAAAACCTTTGCATTCTGCGAAAATCTCTTTGGAAAATGGGTGATGCAACTTTTCTGTCAGCACAGCATTGATCGCACGTGAAAACAAGGCGAAAGCCTGAATCAAAACAGCTGGATCAAAACAGACGTCACAGATGGGCGACCGCCTCTTTTTTAGCCTCTGCTTTTATGCACTGCGAAGGAGGGGAGCACATTCATGCCCTCTGGCGGTCGATCGTTAACCCATCAAAATTTTACTACACCAAACTTGAAGTTTAGTATGATTTATTTTACAATTTACAATTATATAAATTATATATTATACAACATTTGATTTGCAACATACAAAAAATTTATAAAGATCATAAATATTATAAATTAAATCTTCTCTTATAATGATAAAATGTAGCAAAAATATAAAATATTAACATTATAATTTTATTAATAATTTTGTATTTCTTAAATTTAATAAATTTATAAATGAAATAATACATTTTGTTATTTTCTCTTCCTAATTTTAATAATTATAGAGAAAATTCATAATAAATAATATTATAATTTAATAATTGAGCCTGAATGATTAGAATGATAATAAGGTGCACTCTGTTATAAAATTATACCAAAAACACAAAAATTACGAACAGTACAAAAATTTGTACAGTTGCATCTAAAACAGGAAATACCTGAAGCTCGAGTCGTCATCAATTTTATAATTGGAGAATAATTAATTCCCGCTAAATTGTGTGACTGCAGTCGTCACATGTGAACTGGAAATGATCTATCATATTTGCTACAGAATTCAGCGTTAAACATATAAAAGACTACATAGTGAAAAAAATAATCTGGCTGATTATAATAACATATGAATAACTATTCATTAAATTGGAACATATTTATTTTTTATTTTTAGTATTAAAAAGTTGAGTTAAGCATATAGATAGAACTTTATAACTAATATTATTATCAAATGTAAGATATTACACAAAGAGTCAGTCTTAAAAATTGATCTAAGAGTAACAGCCTTAAAAATAATTAAGCTTTTATATTCAGGAGCCCAAAGCCATTTTTAATCCAAAAATTAAAAAGATACAGGCATCCTATAACCTGCAAAACACAGGTGTCCAGCAGAGGTAGCAAACATTCTATTTCATTTGTATTCAAAAAGGGTAAAAACAATAAAGAATTGTTTACTAGGAAAAATATTTTTAAATAATACCCCACACTCATACGGTTGAGCAATCATGTTTTTAATATCCTTTAGATTAATAAAAACAAAGATCTAAAAAGTATGATTACAAAGGGGCAACATGATATAGCGAAAATACTGAAAAAATTACTTGATACTTTTGTCATAAAAATTAAAAGTCAACTATAATTATAGTCATTTTCATCTGTTCCGATTCCGAAAATTGAACTATTTGAATTTTAAGAAAATTAACACATAAGTGTCCAATAGATTTAATAAATATCATCCAACTTACTCATCCTGGCAGCTGGCATGACATGGAAATGTTCCCGAGTTTTGGATTTTCGGACTGAATCTGGATTTGAGTCATCGGCACATTGCTTGTGCACTGACAGATGACGTGCAGAGAGATTTTATGGTATAGATTGCACAAGATGTATCGGTCTCTCATCTCGGTCTCTCTTGTCTATAATTTTAATATTGAATAACTATTAATAGACATAGTTCAAATTTAATTTTTTTTTTACCCTAACACTCGGAGTAATCCAAACAACCGGCAGCTCTTCAAATGTTTGATCTGGCAGACACTCCACCAACACCCCCGTTTCTCGGTTCAAGTGAGCACCATGCAAGACAAGGCCCTGCATCCCAAGCAAAAAGTATAATTTATCAATTTTAGTTGAATTTGACTTACACTACAGTACGCGCCAATCGCAGGCGCTTGGCTCACTTCTTCACACTAAGACTCAAGGAATTTCATCTCGAAACTGACTTCCCGCACTGCTACTTCATGGGCTTTAGCAAAGTTTTGCTTCATTATGTCGAAGAACGACTGAGGGGAAAAAAGGCTGACAGCCTATATATCATGGGCTCTCCTGAATTTTTCCATTCGGAAAAGAATTCAAGCCTCTTCAGGAGGTCTGCGATGTATAAGGAAAATGAGCTAGTTGTTGGATAGGAGACGGCCAACCACTGTGGAGGAATCTGATCAAGTAAAAGACAAGTCATCATTTCTTCAGTTTCATGGTTGCTGTTCACTTTCATGTCCTTCAGGGTAGCATGAATGGTAAAGAGGAGCCTGTCATAACGAACAATTTCCTGCATAAAATGATGCATATTATTTAATATTTATATTGAGGAATCAACTGGTTAAATAATTTTATTACCTGTCTCAATAAAATGTTCAAGGAGTTCGCGTATTCAAAGGGGAACTTTTTCATAATCATCTTCAAATCAAAGCCTGCCGGCAGTTTCTTCTCAATAAAATCTAAATTTTTTTGCAGGCTCTTCATGTCTCCTAAAGCGCAATTTGTAAACTCCAGTCGTTTTGCGACATCCATATCACTTTCAGCCTTTTCAGTATCATCAACGATGCGCTCCTCAAAGACATTCTGAAAATGATTATATATGATTAAAATTACATTCATTTTATATATAACAAAATTACTACCCCCTTTCGCCGGTAAAGAACGTGGCATGCTTGCACACAAGCCAGCTTTTCTAGGGAGCGTTGGGTCACCCTTTTCACCTCCTCGTCACTGATCGAATACCAGCTTTGATCTGCATCGCTCCAGGCCAGGTAGTAGTAATGACCTTTTGAGTTTTCACCTACATGCAGAGACGTTCCTACCAGTTCAAACTCTAAAAAGCTTTTTTTTCCTAACTCGGGTCTATTAATAAAAAAGTACTGTTTGAAAATTTGATGGAATGATTAAGTTAAAATGTACCTTTCGCTTTCTGTTTCCAGTTTTAAAATCTTACTAAGCTTCACGGAGTAGACAGTTTTCTTGCCAGTATCATCCACACGATTGATTTGTAAATTGATGAAACTATAGCCGTATAGCAAAAAAAATGTAAATTAGTATTCTTATAAAATTTTTTCTCATCATGAATTTACTGCGCGTCAGAAAGTAGCAGATCTTTAATTTTGGAGTTGTCACAACAACGACCCACATCTCCATCTCCATATGACAACGACTTCTCCAGAATTTTGTCAACTGAGCCTCCGTTTTTTGCTTGGATTATCCTAATGAACGCTCTATTCACTTTCTGCTCTAATTTTCTCCCACAACTGATAATTTTTTTTAATATTAATGCAATTTGATGGTTGGGATAAAATCTTACCTCAAGCAGGTTTTACGGAATGCAGGACAGCAGCCAGTCCTAACATCTCCACAGAAGGCACTCAGCAGCGCCATCAGGCGCATCAAGATTTCGCACATGTCGTGCTGTCGGTCACTGTCGTACTGATAGTAGATGTGGAGAGCAGAGTGAAAGGATTGAACCAAGTCTTGGAGGAGACTTTCAGCACTTCTTTCCATGCTCTTTCCAACGAGCTTTGAAATTTCTTGAAGAAGTGTCAAAACAAACTTATCTGCTTCATCAAGTTCAATCAACTCCATGTTCATAGTTTGGAGAAGTTGAAGCACAGGTGGATGCATGAAAAGAACTTGCATCGCAACATTTGCGAAGCACCACTGGCCCGAATTATAGAGTCTGAAATCATAAAAAAATCCAATAAACAAAAAACCATGGCAATTTAAGATATAAAAAAATATATAATGTGATTATATTTCATAATCATCTAATGTAACTGATGCAGTTTAAAGCGCAAACGTTCCAGTCACTCTGAATTTGCAAAAAAGGGGGTTGTTCGTCTGTACCTCACTTCTGCCAAGAACGGCCAAAACTTATTTTGAATTAAACCTAATTTACCCTAGAAAGGGGGCAACTTGGGCCTCAAGAGGCTTCTTCCGCTTGGCCTCGAATTCGGGTCCTTCAATTTCTTCATCTTGTGCTGCACGTGTAAGATCTGGAAATGAGGAGGTAACGGACTTAGCAAGCACTTGGGAAGTGTTTTCGTCCATAGATTTTTCATCCATTCTGTTTTTCAGAAATTGGCTTTTTTTATCAGGAAATGCAACAATCAGCATTAGCTAGTAGACTTCGTTGCCTTTCTGCAAGTTAAATTTTCAATTGTTACATTGTCACTGTGGTTTTATTGCAATTGTTGATTGCAGCAGCTAGTGGTAATGAAACTTGGACCAAATTTGAAATTTAAATTTCTATATTTTGATTTTTCTTTCCAAGTCAAAATAGTAAAAAAAAAAAAAAACACACGTATGCCTTAAGCAAGAATTTTTTTCTCTCATTATTTTAATTCAAACCATTTATTTATTACTGAACAACTGGTCACAGATTTGATGATATGCAAGAGCAAGGAGGAATTTTATTATTTTCAATGTATGAATGTCGAGTTTTTCTGTTTTGATATATTAAGTAATTTTTGTTTTAAATTAAATTATAAAGTGTTTTGACTTATGACCTGAAGGTCCTGCTTCTGGCTATTAAGTCCATTCGCAGTAGATCTCCTCCATATGGTAAAACGCACTTTCACGGTTGGGACACGCAATTTCAATAATATAGCCCTGAACCGTGTCGTTTGGCTATCCATGCAGTTTGGTCGCTTTGGCCTATTCACTATCCAAGGAACTTCACCTGCTCGTGCAGACACTTTTCCGCTCTATCATAACATATAATTTCAATTAAATTAAATTGCCATTCAGAAAATTAGATTTAAGGATACCTTATCCAAAGGCATTTGGCTTTTTTCAGTTGCTGAAAAGTGTAGCCAGTCGTCTTGCGCAGTTGCCGCGATTTTACAAATTCAGAAAAGATGCACAAAAAGGTATATTTTCAAATTAAAGAACAAAAAATTGCAAAAGAAAAGAAATTGTTTTTTAATGTTAATTTTCAAACAACGGGTTTTAATTGCAAAGCGAGTCAATGCAAAAATAATAAGAAATTTGTATTTGCAAATTAATTGTATAAACTGTGTGTGGTTAGTATAGGTGGGGCTAAATGTGTGTATAGAAAGTGTAAATGTGTAGCAAAAATATCAATTTGGAAAAAAATATAAAAATAATCAAAATTTCACTCGACGAGTGTTCGGATTGAATTCACTTAAATCACAAAAGAGAGATACTCATTGTGAGCTGTGTGTCGAGTTGATCTCGGTGAGGGGAGCGACTCCTGATGGTGTCGGTGCTCCGAAGGTCGATCTGATGTTTGGCCAGACGCCGGCTGACTAGGGTGGTTGGTGACCGGGGAGGTGGTGCTCACTCGTGAGCACGAAGCGCTGCAATTCATGGCGACAGCGCTCCATCTGCAAACGACGCTGGCGGACACCAGCTCTGCCGGGCCGGACAATTGCGAAATCAACGGCCCCACAGAGCACCTGGGTTGTACAAGAATTTGGTTTAGTATACGCGCCCAATTTTCAAAATGAAACAATGGAAGGAATGGTCCAGAAGGTCCTTTCGGGATGCCGCCCAATTAAGGGAAAAATTCTGAAAAGCAACTTACGTTGACTCTTCTCGCAGAACGTTCGTATCCTCCAATTGACGAGAGGAAGCGGCCAACCTGCTGCTGGCACAGCAGAGGCCGGGTGGTGTTTTCACAACCACTGATCGTGGGCGACTAAACCAAAACTGCACGAGGTCAGAGACCTTTACCCGGGAGTAACCTGTGTGCTCTTTATCAGTGCAGGTGGTGGGGGCACTGATTGGCGGCGAGTGCAAATGCACTTCTTTCTCTCTTCTTCTTCTCGGCACCGCGCACTCGACACTTCTCACACGCAGAATAAAATGTTGACGACGAATAAAAGTGGTTGTGTTTATGTGTGGGGAAAGGATTAATTGAGAAAGGAATATTCAGTTTTAATTCCAAATCAAAATTCCCAATTATTGTTACAAATGCATATATAACTTGTAAAAACATGCAATGACAATCATTTTATTGCAGTGGTCCGAGCCTTTTTTGAGGCAACATATCCAAAATAAAATTTAAATCAGGCGTACCGTTAACATTTGAGCTTTCATTTCACGCTCATACAAGAAATTTCCAAAATTTTCAGTGTAAGACCGGTCTCGTTGTCTTGTTTCTCTTCTCACAATTCTAAATACAACATTTTATGTCCCCTACCGGATCTTACGCTAAGTATTTATGAAAAATTTAAACCTGGAAAACCTCATTGGAAAAAAATGACTTCTGACCCCCAAAAGGCGCCCAGTTCATATTATTCACTAAGTAACATTAATAAAAGGTAATACTAACAAAAGGTAATACTAACAAAATTAAATTCGTGCATGCCGCATGCGTCTACATTTTTTAATTTTTCACGGAATTATTTTCTAAGGAATTTTGAATTTTTAGTAGAATTTTAAAAATTGCACTAAAATTTGGGATCTGAAGTTTGTGGGTCTAATTAAGTTTTTGTTCTTCAAAATTCAGGTCCGCAGAACTTTTAATTTTTTGTTGTATATTTTTTTAGTCGTGAATTTAAAAAATGGCACCAAATTTTTAGGTCTAGAATTTGAGGCCGGGTCTAATTAATTTTTTTATTTTTTAAAATTCGGGCCTATGGAATTTTTAGTTTTTGGTAGTATTAATTAGTCGTGAAATTTAAAAATAGTACCAAAATAGGTCTGAAATTTGAGGGACTAAAATAATATTTAATTTTTTAAAATTCAGGTCTACGGTATTTTTAATTTTTATTAGAATCAGACGTGAAATTTAAAAATTACACCAAAATTTTAGGTCTAGAATTTGAGGGTCTAATTATTTTTTTTATTTTTCAAAATTCAGGTCTATGGAATTTTTAATTTTTGGTAGTATTAGTCGTGAATTTTAAAAATGGTACCAAAATATTAGGTCTAGAATTTGAGGGTCAATTATTTATTTTATTTTTCAAAAGTTAGGTCTATGAAATTTTTCGGAATTTTTAGTTCTTGGTAGTATATTAGTCGTGTATTTTAAAAATGGTACCACAATAGGTCTGAGATTTGAGGGTCTAAAAAAATATTTAATTTTTTAAAATTCAGGTCTAAGGTATTTTTAATTTTTATTAGAATCAGACGTGAAATGTAAAAATTGCACCAAAATTTTAGGTCTAGAATTTGAGGGTCTAATTATTTTTCTTATTTTTCAAAATTCAGGTCTGTTGAATTTTTAGTTTTTGGTAGTATTAGTCGTGAATTCAAAAAATGGTACCAAAATTTTAGGTCTAGAATTTGAGGGTCTAATTATTTATTTTATTTTTCAAAAGTTAGGTCTATGGAATTTTTCGGAATTTTTAGTTCTTGGTAGTATAAGTCGTGTATTTTAAAAATGGTACCACAATAGGTCTGAGATTTGAGGGTCTAAAAAAATATTTAATTTTTTAAAATCCAGGTCTAAGGTATTTTTAATTTTTATTAGAATCAGACATGAAATGTAAAAATTGCACCAAAATTTTAGGTCTAGAATTTGAGGGTCTAATTATTTTTCTTATTTTTCAAAATTCAGGTCTGTTTAATTTTTAGTTTTTGGTAGTATTAGTCGTGAATTGTAAAAATGGTACCAAAATTTTTGAAAATTGCACAAAAATTTGTGGTCTGAATTTTTGGAATCTTATTTTTCAAAATTCTGGTCTTGAAAATTCTTAATTCTAAATTGAATTAGCTTTGAATTATAGAAACTGCACCAAAAAGTTTGGTCAGAAATTGCTGAGTCTAATTTATTTTTTATTTTTTTAAATTTCAAAATTCAGGTGTATGGAAATTGTAATTTTTACTAATTGTATTAGTCGTGAATTTTAAAAATTGCACCAAAATTCTAGGTTTGAAATTTGCTAGTCTAATTTATTTGTTTTTATGCTTTTTTTTTTTTATTCAAAATTAGGTCTTTAGAATTGAAATATAGGTAGCGGCCGGTAATTTAAAATATTTTTTCTGTCTCCAAAAGTGCAGTATTTTCTTAAGTAAAAATATTTCATCTATGAATTGGGTATGGTTAAAAATCAACAGTAAAACACACTAGAAGTGTAATAATTAGTAACATTTATTGATTTATCTAATCATAAAAGTAATTAATTACGTATTTGACTTGCTTTTTTTACAGTCGCATTATATCTGCTGCAAATATTTGTGTAGAGGATGATCAATTTTAATCGTCATATACTTGATATACTTATATGTACACATCACATAAATATTAATTGCTAGACATGTTTATATTTTTTATATAGAGAAAAGAATGTATGACAATTATGTACATAGATATATTCAGCAGTGAGCAGACAAAATGCTCATCGATTATTTGTCTCAATTCCAATACTAGAAACAATCAATTGATTGCATTTAAATGCATAGCACTTTTCAAAGAATTTCACAAAATAATAAGAAAAGATTAAAAGCGTTCAGGATCTGGAGTGAACTTATTGAAAAATAATATATATTCTGATCTGATATGTATTTTTCAATAAATATAAAAAACGCATCAATTCAGCTTAACCTGATTAATAAATAAACTACATAATCTAACAGAAAAATTATTGCATTTCTTAGATTTTTAAATCGATTTCGGTCAATGATTTAATTTCATGTATCTAGTAAAAATTAATGTCTTTTGACTGCGATTCTTGGATTTTTCAATTTAAAAACACAGATATGAAAAACGTACAACTTTTTAATCGGTATAGAGTAGACATCTTGTGTACATAATTATTATCCTGTCGGTCAGTTAATCGATCGATGATATTGCTAAACACACTTTTCCTGGCTTATTGTTCAAGAGAGGTTTAACACTTAGCCTTTCTTACACAGTTGCTAGAATCCAATTTTCTCTCTGCCCTGCTTCTTTTCCATCACACTACGCGAATTTAGCGCGCGGTTTCTTGCGCAGTAATCTTTTAAAGTATTTATTCTTCCCAAACAAATTTTTTTAATCAATCCAACTGCTCAAGTTCTTTTAAGAAACAAGTTTTCAAAGAGAGACTAGCAGCTCTAAAACATTATATATCACTTTTCCATTATTGTTTCTATTTTCTTTTAGAAAAATCAGTTTGTTCCTTCGCTTTTCATAATACCCTGCCAGAAAAATAATAAAATTATTTTCGAGGTTTTGAACGTACATATCAAAAACACATTCATGACCTTTTTCCTCTTGCATGAGATCGCGGGACCTATAAGACTTTTTCCATGTGATTTTGAATTCAGATCTAAATGCGCCGATTTCTCAGATCTGTATACATATTTTTTCTCATCTCATCTCTTCATGGCAGATATACAATATTTTCCTTCTAAAAGACTATAGAAATTTTTAATCCATTTAACATTTAATATGCAGTCAGTGGAATTTTTTGTATGACACAAAACAGGTTAGCACTACTTTTATGACGGTGTTATTTATATTTCAGTGTAAGCAGTATACAAAAAGTCACAATATCGTTCTTTTGTTACAAAACTGTGAGATCTCAAGGATTCCCTGAACATGCAGATTCGCGCATTCGTACTTGCTCGTCAGCCAAAAAAAAATGTATTTAAAACTTACAAATACAAGATCAAATCATATATTTATATAAAAAAAAAATGCCACAACAGCAGTGCCTCTAAACTCAAAACAACCATCATTAAGGTCTCCTTATTAATAGCAACAAAAAATCAGCACTAATATTTTCCAACTGGAATTATTCAATATCTGAGCCACATTAGGATATTTGAAGATGGTTCCGTGGAAAAATATGGGATTCATTATGTGATTAATCGATTGTGATTTAAAAAAAATATTTCATAAAGTCTTTTGAGAAAGTTTATACAATCAAAGAAAAATCGGCCTATATTCTCACATAGATATGTCAAATTTTTAGCGGGGCAAAATAACATTTTTGTGGCACCCATTTATACCCAAAACGCTCTTGAAAGAAATTTTGCTAGAGTCAACTCCTTGAATGATATATCAATAAGGAGTCCTTAATCATTATAAAATTTCCAAACTCAACCATAAAATCTGAACACAAGGTGTATTATTATTTAATTTTAAATTTTAATCCTTATTAGCGAAGAAGAGACTTGCAATTGAAAAAGACTTGTGAGACTCTGATCATGTTCTGGCCGAGGCTTCGGGTCTGCTCACCGGCGTGGGTGGAGTTTTGATGCTGACCGTCGGACTAGGGGGACTGACCGACGCCCTGATCTTGCTGTGGATGGCCTTGCAGTAGTACTTCTTGTGCGTCAGGTAGAGGTCCCTGTTGAACACGGTATCACACGCCTGGCACCGTCGGCCCTCCTCCTCCTCCTCCTCCTTGTTCTCCCCTTCGGTCAGGCTGATCTTCTCCTCGCAAGGTTCCAGTTTGACCACCAAGGCTTCCGGACTCTCCGTCCGGCAATTCTCATCCTGCCGATGGACGACCCTGAGGTGTTTCAGGAGCACCGACCTGGAGGCGCCGGTGAAGCCACACAGGTTGCAAGGGTGCTGCTCAGGTCGCTCCTCAGCCTCGTCAGCCTCCACCAGGATGGGCAAACTGCCCCCGGACTCCTTCCCCTCCTGCTCATCCTGCAGGACGCAGGTGATGAAGTCCTCCTCCTTAACCTCGGCGCACGTCTTGTTGTCCGCGCCCGCCTGCAGAAGGTGCATCCGGATGTGGGTGCGCATGCCCCTCAGGGTGTTGCCCCGGTAGCTGCAGATGGTGCACCTGAACCCTTTCAGCATCCCGGTATGGTTTTCCTCGAGGTGCTTCTGCGCGGCAGTGGCCGTTGGCAGGTGCGTGCTGCAGCAGGGACACCGCCAGCCGCTGGGAGACAACAGGCTTGTCACCGGATGAGACACGGCCATGCAGTGGTGAGGCGAATCGCCATCGCCAGGCAGAATTACCTGAAACATACAAAACATAAATGTACATTTAGATTTTTTATAATAAGAATTATTAAATTTTTACATTAAATTATTTAACATAAAATTACTAATTTATAAAAAGATAAGAAATAAACAATATATTATTCATTTTAATGTTATTATAAAATTTTTTAATTTTAATTATTTATTTTTATTTAAATATACTATTAATCCTTGTTCATTTGGTTAAGTATTGAACTTTATGTAAACATACATTCTCGGCAAGGTAATGCCTCAATAAGGTTTGTTAAACAATTAACTTATGCATGCCTTTTTTTGGTGTTACAAAATCTTCTAAACATTTGAATTAATTTTTAAATTCAAAACTCTCATAAATTGTACTTAAAAAATTAAATGGTTTCATAATCTTAATCTGATGAACTGAACTATATTGAAAAATTTGCAAAATATTGTGTTTTACTTAAATAATACAGCAAATAGAAGATATATTTTTCAAATAATTATAGCAGACTGGCAAATTCAAGCGATTTTTTAAACTGGGGTCCTGATAGGCTCATAAAATATTCAAGCCTTCACAAATTATGCAATTATTGCAAGCCAGGAATATTAAAAATTATATAATTACAATAGACTGAATTGAGTCAAATTTACCATTCAAATCAAACTAATTCTGTGCATGACCGTTCAAATTTGACAAAATTTGTGAATTTCAAAGGAAAACTATATGATAATTTTTTCCATTCAATTCTGGGAGAATATTTGTGTAAACTTATTAGTACATACCTTGCACTTAGGGCATTTCTTTCTCTCGACGGGTGGCTCGTTGTTGTTGGTGCAGTTGGCCTGCTGGTTGACGTCCCTCTTGAGACAGTAGTACGCCTGGTGCGCCTTCAAATTTTTGATGGCCGTGAATTTGATTCCGCACGGTGCGCAGATGTACTGCTGCATCACTTTGCCCGGCGGGGTTGGGGTCGTTTGCGGTGGCGTGGGTGATGGGGTCGAAGTGGCTTTGGCCTCCTCAGGGGATGTATTGCCTTCCGACCTTGCCCTGGCTGAGCAGTAGTACTTCTTGTGCACCTCGAAGTTCTCCACCTTGAGGAACACGATGTTGCACTCCTCGCACCTCGACACGCCCTGCTTGACCAAAATCTGCGGGGCTGGCGGCACCGCGTGGTTGGCCACCGGAAGAAAGGCGGCCGCCTCGGCAGCTGTCAACATCGGCCGCTGCAGAAGCGCCAGCTGCGAGCTAAGAAGCGGCCCTAAAAGTTCAGGGACCAGCAGTTGCTGCAAAAGGAAAATATCTATCAATCTTGAATCCAATTATTTTTGCAAAGAAAAGTCAATAAGCAGTTACAAACAGTAATATTTAAATTAATAATTTTGTGTTACAGATAATTTAGGAGTTTATTTTATCCTTGTGGCAATAATAATTTTGATGTACATTTTTTTGTCATTTGAAACAATTTTATAACAACATTTTTGTTTTTATCAATTTGATCTTTTACCTTTGGAAGTTTGATGTGTGGCATGAGATTAGGGGTCTTCCGCAGAGGAGTTCCGTTTTCAATTGGAACCGAATCAGGTTTCTTGGCAACTACTGGCAGAACGCCGTTGACCCTTGAAGGTCTTGGGGAGGCTGACGAGGGCGACGACGCTCTAGAGGAGCCTTGGGAGGGTGAGGACGTGTTCAGACCCCTGTTCTCCTTCTCATCCTCAGGGTCTTGAGCTCCCAGCCTGGGGGAAGTCGACCCTACTGAGAGTGCTGAAGGAGGGTGAGCAGATCTGGGGAGACTCAGGTCGAGAGGGAATGTTCCACCACCATTCGTCGCTACCTCAGGTACAGCCTGAAAACAAAACAAAAAAGTTTAAAAAAAAATGCCAATTTTTTTACAGTAATTAATTTCAATTACAACTGATTACAAGAAATTGATAATTCTTGCTCATTTATTTGAGAAAAAATATATTCTATTATTTACTTTTACTATATATACTGTGTCTATAAATTTTTGACTTTAAAATATTCTTTACTATTTGTACAGTACAAGATATTATTTTCATTTAAAGATCTAGCCAGGATCTAAAATTAAAATGCCAAATGAAAAAAAATCACAATTTATTAAATGAAAGTAGAATTTTAGTTAAAACGTATTAATATTTTTTGATATTTTTTAATTTGATTTAAAAATCACAAGTTCTGAGGCTTTCTATATTTCTTTAAATGTTGGATGAAATAAATATTTTGGATTACCTGAGGTGTGGGAATGGCGTGCACAGGCGTTTTTTCCACCTGATGCGTCCTCCTCGGCGGCGCCGGGGGCGGAGTTGGACTGGGCAACCTTTCCGTAACCGCTGGCAACACCAGAGGTTGGACAGTCCCGTTCACGAGCAGAAGACACGCACCAGGGTTGGTGGTGCTCACTCCAGGCGGAAGAGCGGCCGAAGTGACAAAACTGGCTGCCTGCACCAATTGGTAGGGCACGAGGAGCATCGGGTTTGTGGGCAGCGCAAGGTACGGTTGAGCTGGTGCTGGGGAGGAAGTGGGTGACGAAGCAGAACCTACCCTTGGTAAGTCAGGGCCGGAAGAAGCCTGCCAAAAATTAAAATTAATAATCACAGGATTTCAACAGATGTATTCAACCTGCTCCGCAAGGGAGTGGAGCAGGTTGCATAACTGTTAAATGAGCTCATTGTAAGTTTAATTCTCTTTTTTGGTTCACATAAAAGAAACTTTTAACAGGGAACAACTTAAGGTAATTGGAAGGAATTGTAATAGAAACGACGTGTCATATGAGCTGGAAAATTAGGAATGAATACTATAAAATAATAGCGAGAACTATTTTTTTTTAAATATATATATTATATAATAAAATTTATTATATTTTATGCTGCATTTTATCAATGGATATTTTCAAACTACTTCAATCTGATTAAAATGTGTGTGAGCAATAGAAACTTAAAGCCATTAAAAAAAATAATGAAATTTTTAAACAATAATTTTTTATTAAAAAAGCATTAAATGAATTATTATGAGACCTTTTAATTATAACAAATTATATTTGATCTGCGTGTAAATGGTTTTTAAGAAGGAAAAGAGCTATTTGAATGCCTCGCTATTTGCATTAAATTAGCCTTAATTAATGTGAAGAATGCTTTATAGACTAAACAAATTGTGCGGGACCTAAGGTAACTAAGGATACACAAAATGCCTATGGACAAAAGAAGGAAATTCAAAATTGTTAATTTAAGATGATTTGAATGTCTAAAATTTTCCATTCAATGGCTAAATAGTTTGAATCATGTTATATTTTGTTTCATAAATGTTATAAAAAAAATATACAAATACCTGGCTGGCGGCCGCGGGAGAAACAGCCGCGTTGGGCTTGACGACGTGTCTGGTGTCGCAATAATGAGCCTTGTGAGCCTTGAAGGTCCTCACCGAAGAGAAGCGAATATCGCAGTTGGCGCAATATCTGTCCATGGCAGGCGGCGGCAGTTGAGAGCCGGACGCTGAAGACTCGTCCGCCGCCTCCGAGTCGCTGGGGGCAGTGGGGGCGGGGGAAACGGGCAGCGGGGTGACGGACGGCGTGTGCATCCGCATGTGCCGGTTCAGACTGACCTTCTTATCCGCGCTGTAAGAGCAGTGCGGACAAGTGTACTGCCGTCCGGTGCGCGCCACTTTTGCCGGTGGTGGCGCCGAGTCGTCCTCGGGGGCGTTCGAGGAGCGGGGACTGCCCAATTCAGTGTCACTTCCATCTTTGCCTAAATCAATTTTTTTAATGAACCAAATTTTGAATTAATAAATGTAAAAGAGAGCAATTTTTGTGTATTTTTGATACTTTTGGAACCAAAATTAACTGTTGGACAGAAGTTAAATATTAATATTAAATTTGCAAGTAAATTGGGATTTTGTTTTAATCTTTAAAAATTTGATATTTATTTAAATAAATTTCTTACAGGCCATATTAATGAATGAGAATTATTCAACAAATTTTTGCACCAAAATTGCATTTTTAAAAGATAGAAAAAAAAATCTGCCATATTTTATTATTTCTGTACCTGCAATGGGCGTTGCTGGTGATGAAGGTCGCGGGGCAGCAGACGCCCTGTGCGAGCAGTAATAAGTCTGGTGCGCCTCCAGAGTGCTCTTGCTGCTGAATTTGATGCCACATGGTTGACACATGTAGCAGTTAGCTGAAATTAAGAGCGTTCAATTAAAATTTTCTAATCAAAGAGAAGAACTTCATTAACTACCTAGCCGTGGAGGCGGCAGTGGAGTTGAGGGAGTTTCGAGATTCTCTTGATTGAGTCTTGGGGTGGTCGCGGAGGCAGTGCTGTTTGTTTCCGGCACCGCGGGAAGACAAAAAATGGCTGCAGCAGGACTTGGTCCTAATGTGAAAAACGATTAATGGGATTTACTTCTGATTACTTTAAATTTAGTTGTCTAGTTCTTTCTTACAAGATACTGAATATAAATAATAATTTAATTTTAAATTAGTAAAAAATTATTGGAGAGAGAAAATTACCTGCTGGGAATAGAGACGCCGGAAGCATTGAGATATCAGGTTTAAACCTCTGTTCATCACCAGGGGAAGACCTGTCACTGGAAGTGTCCTGTAAAAAAATAATTCTCAAGAATTTAATGTCAGTTTCATCATTTTTTTTTTTAAATTGTTAAAAATACGATTTTATAATTACTCTTTGAGGTTAAAAATATATAAAAAAAATGAAGTTCTTTCATATAATAATGAAATTTAGACGATAACAAAGACAATTAACTGTTGTGATAAAAATTATGTGGATATTGATTATTTAAGGAAGTTCTATAATTAATTGATTATAAGCAAATAACCAATTATGAAACAAGAAATTTAACAATTTTATTTGTTTTAAGAATTTTAATAAGCTATTTTTAAAGGTTTAAGAGTAGAAAATAAACTCCTTAGTTGGACTTTTTAAATTTAATTTTCAATGAAGATATTATTTTACCTGTTGTTCTTTACTGTTCCTGAGAGCAGGATCTGTTGCGAGATTAGTGTTGAGTTTCAGTTTTGGAGACGGTTGCTGACTGCTGACCTCTCGACTATTGTCGTCTTCCTCATCTTTTGATTCCATTTCTTCGAGCTCAACTTTGACGTTGTCTTGGCCGTCTGCGTCCTCACCGCTGCCAAGGGCCGCGGCCTCGGTGGTCGACGGACTCTGTTGAGAAGCAGTTGTGGCATTTTCACCGTCACCCTCGTTCCAGAAATCCTCTCCTGAAACAATATCCAAAAGCAAAATTAGATCAGAGGTATATAAAAAATGGCAGAGATCCTGCTGAGTTAATTGCAGTTTGACACGAGGCCACTTCTTAGCGACTTCAGGCAAAAAAAATGTAATATTTTTTTTAATCTTTTTGCGATCTGTAAAAAGTTCAATAACTTTCGATAAGAGGTGCACGTCAAGTGTTTTTGCCTTTTAATTTGAGCGATCTATTACTGCGAAACCGACTTTTGGACTCTGGCGGAAAAAAATTAGTTTCTAATAAACATGAAGGGCGCGGACCCATCAAGCGTCGAATTCTATTTGCGAAGCGGACGATTTTATCAGAAGAGAGAGGCATTCTCACGTATGTGTATGTGCCGTTTCTCTCTTGATAAACATCAAATTTCAGTTAATATAGCATTAAAATATTTGAGCAGAGGGACCACCAATGAAGATCTCTCCGCGTTGATAATAAATCCCGAAGAGCTATTCGCGATATTGGCTTTTTAATAAAAACTATACTAACAGACACACGCAATATTCTCTCTCATCGGGTGATTAATTCTTCATGAGAGAGAGCCAAGAAGTGTATAAAACAAAATACTCGGCGGTGCTGTGTTATTATGTTGTTCGATAATTAATCAATTTCTTTAATAAGCGAGAGGGAGTTAAAACCAACACAAGGCGGAGCAATGTGATGCTGCTTTCAAAGGGAGGTGGTGCCGGGCACCATTTAGGTGATACCCATCAGGTAATTATATATTTGTGAAGACAACAGAGAGACGAGAGAGATCATTTCAATTCGGCGGCCCAGACCAGACACTCGTGCATGCAAGTGCGACTCAAGAAGTGTGCAATCCGGCTAATATAATGGATTTTTAAGAAAGTTTCATGAAACAAAATCGTCAATATAATATAAAATGTACTAAATGGTGATGTTAAGTTAAAATCGTATGTATGTGATTACATAAAGTGTTGTTCTACCGTTCTACCTATACTAATAAAATTAATGATAGTTTAAAATACATGTTAGTATTAAAAATCTTGATATTAAATTTACCTATTTTCGTTCAATTGATTTTTCTCCTTTTTCATATAAATAATAGTTATATTTTACGTTTATTTTTTAACTAATATTTATTTAGCTAAGCATCAATATACACTAAAAGTTTACAAATATAATTATTTTTGAAGAAAAGAAAATATGAAATCATTTTACCACTTACATTAACATAATCTCTAAATTATCTTATGATTGCTTATGATAACTAAGTGTAGGAAGCACCAGCTACTTCAAATTCTTTATTATAATCAATAATTTCAATAGATATTAATGCAATTTACAAATAATTATACGAATGTGTATCATTAACCAAATACATGCAATACACAAAAATTTTCAATAAAGATAAAATAATTTTTAATTATATAAATTCACTAAATTAATAGCTTTTTATGGTTTAAAATGGACAAGTAAACAACAAAAATAAACCATCAATTTTTGGAAAATTATGTAAATTAGCAGCTGATTCTACTCTAAGAAAATCTTAATAAAATTTCTTAATGTAAGAGTATCGTACTGAGAGAATTTTTTTCTCACATCACCAAGTCCTTGAGTAACAAGTACGAGTTTTAAAATAATTGTCTCGCATTTGGACAAAAGCCATTTCTTTCATTTAGCTCTCTCGATGTCTCACTCACTCAGTGTACACATACATACGAGTGAGTCAGTTTTGGATCAACGCCCTTATTAAAACTCTTATCTGAAATAAATAATTTAATATTAGCCGCAGCTTGCGTGCGAAAACATTTCACGGCGCGAAAGACCGCTCCTTGAAAATATCATAGTTTCTTTATCTGCTAATTTAAAAGTGACTCTGCGGGCAGAGACGCCAGCTGAAAAAAAAACAGAAAGAAAGAAAGATTCGATCGAAAAACAATTTCTTGGGCTGCGCGAGACCATTAATAATTTGATAAAACCCGCGCGCGAATGTGTTTGTCCAAGAGAGATTCCAATCAGAAAAAAACTAAAACTTGTCGTTTGTCTCTCCAAGAGCTAATCAAAAAGCTGTGAGAGCGCACATATAATTTGCGGCCGAATCCAATAAATTAGAGGCGAGAGTCATTATTTTTAGTCGACGAGAGATAAAAATTATCAGCGGCAGAAGTAAATTTCGCCGCCAGGATGACATGCAAAAAATCGCACCACCATTAATATAAAAAATAAAAGATAGTGGGGTATAAAATAAAACAGAGCAGTCACTCAGTCAAATATTAAAGTTTTGCCGCAGATACATATATTTTTATCTATGGCGCAGAGATTATTACCCAGAGCCAAAACCGGCGCGGGATTTAAAGCAGAAGAGATAAATTGCAGCCGAGGCAGAAAGGAGAAAAAATAATAAAAAATTGCATGCACGTTAACTAATGGCTTATAACATCTCTGCCAGAACTTTTTCCGTCATCATCCCCCCGAAAAAAGTAACGCCGCAAAAATCGCTAAGTGATGGAAAACTGACAAGGGGGTTCATTTGAAATGGCGTGGAATGGAAATACAAAAAAAAAAACGAAAAAATACTGTGTGCGGTGGCATTCCCAAGGTGTGAGATAAGGGAGACGAATAGAGAAAGAGTGAGTGAGTGGGGCGAGTTGCAGATAGATAACCGCGAGGGAGAAAAATTACAGGTTTTTTTTAAACACAGAGAGAGCAGAGAACGGAGGCACAGGAGAGATAAGCGCCGTAGAATAGAGCGGGCGGCGTTGGTGTTGGGGAAACCATTTGCGATAGAACTTTGATATAACAAGAAAAATTACCCCGTGCGAGTTTGTGTGTGTGTGTAAAAGGTAAATACCGTGTGTGGTAGAGAGAGAGGAAGCACCGCATCAAAAAAACAAATAATGAATGCACGAGGATAAAAAATACTGCAAAAAAAAATAATGCTACTAAAACTAAACTCTCTCGGTACACCCTTGTTATATTTGTCTGGTTTGTTTCGCTGGCAAATAAGAGATAATCACTTTTGAAATGTACAGCAAACGTGCGGATTTCAACTCTTCCTCCACAATCAAAAATCTTGGAATTCTCATGCTGCCACCGCCGACTTTAAATTTATTTATTTTATTTATTTCCAATTAACCGCTGGTACGAGGTGTCACTTGTCGTGCTTGTTCGCTCTTTATCTTTGGCACCTCTAGGGTGTGAAATAATAAAATGTGCTGCTCCTTTCCAGAGCGGATCAAGATTTATTTGTTCGGCCGCGCTCAAATTTGTGCCGCTTAATTAAAAAAGGTCTCCGGCAATTAAGTTAAGTGTGTGACACCCGAGCTGCTTGGCACTGATTAACGAAAACAACTCGATCGCTTTATTAAAAAGAGAACAAAAAAAAAAGCACACAGAAAAGAGGGAGAATATGGGCCGTTCGATTGCAATTAGCGGACAGCATTGATGGCTGGAAAAGAGGAGACAATGGAAAAGAAGAGGAAGATAAGAAGCGCCTGCGACTGTATGCACCCCCGCAATGCATCCGTGCATTGCACAAAATCTTGAAAAGGATACAGGATAATTATCATTACATACGCAAGCTCATTAAAATAAATGTACAATTATTTAATTTTTTAAAGTGCTACGCTAAAATAAATATTATATTACATATTATTTTATATTTTGCCAATGAACAAACACATTTATTATTTTTGTGTATTTAATATTGTTTGTAAATTTTAATTATATTAAATAAACGTTATTCATTACATTTAAAAAAAATTTATTTTAAATGAATCAGTCTTAATAATTAAAATGTCAAACTTAATTTATTTAATTAATATATTTTGAAATGTATCTTGAAAAATGTAATAAAATAATAATTCTATTACTAGACATTTGAATTCTATCTAGTATTGTTAAGGAACATTGAATATAATTAATTAATTGTGTATAAGTTCATTCATCAATCTAAATCATTCATCATTTCAAAATACGCTCCTTATTTCCAGTATTAAACAATTACTAATTATTCATTCTTAAACTTTTTAAATTGTAACAATCCTGTTGTTCAAAAAATTGAAGATGTATTATTATTATTAAATTCTAATTTTCATTAATTAGTTAAGTAATACAACATTGAAACTTTTTAAAGAATAATGCTTCAAGAAATTGCCGGCAGATCGCGGTGAAATGAAGGACCGCGGCGATTGTGTGAGCACCACAAGGAGGAGTTTTGAGTTTGTTATCGGCGCGATGGCATCAGCGTGATAAGCGAGCCAATGCCGCGCCATCGCTTTTGCTTCCTATCCCATCTCGCAGGCAGGCAGGGTTTTATATAGCAGCACACATACATTTATAGCCGAGCGAGCCGAGTAGAGGCGAGCAGATATAAAGGGGGGTGGGTGGGAGGGAGACGCTGTTTCTCATTTCCCTTATCGCGCCTAGCAGCGCCAGCGGTGGACGCTTATCGGGCAATTCATCTCAGCCGTCTCTCAAGCTTATCGCGCCGGACTATCTCCGGCGCCGTTATCTTTTCATAATCTATCATTACCCCCACAGCATATTATAAAGGCATGCCTTTCCTTTTTATCAGCCAAATTTTCATAACAAAGAATGCTCTGGCTTGTCGGCGGCGCAGCACTTAGATGGATGGATCGGGTGTGTTTGTTCACTGGCAGCGACTGATCACAGTTCTCCATCGATTGCCCTTAGTCGGATTAACTTTTTACTCACGACTTCACAAAGTCTCAATGCAAAAATTCAATAAATCTAGAGACACCCTCATTGAAAATTGTATATTAATCAAAATAAAATTACTTTCTTTGTTTTTAGGGAAAAATTTATACATTTTCACCTTTCAAGTTTTTCAAAATCAATTTGACATGACAGAGAAATGATTAGATAACAATAAATTAATTTGTTTGAAGAAGTTGACACTCGAGGAGATGATCATGGAAATGAAGCCCGAATCTTCATTTCAATAAATTAATTGAAAAAATTATCAGATTATTAAGATAAAAAAATGAT